CAGAATATTCTGTCATGTCTTAAGCTTATGCTTTTACTTGACTGCCTTCATTGTGTTCTCTTGACATAAATGCTCATTACCTGCTCTTGTAGGAGTCCCAGGATCATAGAAGATTTTTGTTAAAGAAAATCATCGCTGTTAAAACCACACACAAACCTCTCTGGCCCCACCACTGACAAGCCCAATCATCTGCCAGTTGCCAACAAAGGGGACAAGAAGCAGATGATGTCAGTTCCCTTTATATTGAGTTATCAGGTTGATTGAGTGTAATTGAGCAATGCATCGGAGTGTGGAGAGAAGACACCAAGCCCCTGGAGAGAGTGGAGGAGGAGTGGAGGAAGGGTGTTTCAGGAACCAGGAAATGCTCAAGGCACCAGGGCCATGACATTAGCACTGTCGACAGCTGCTGATTACTTGCTGCCTTGTAATGAATTAATAGAACTGACTGTGCCTTTCAACAGATGAAAAAAATAAGATTCCTTATCTTTCTTACTTGCAGTTATTAAAACTTCAAACACGAGTCGCTCGTGCTGAAAAAGTGTTACTGAAAGTACATTAGGCCATTTAGAAACTTGTGTGATAAACGCCTTGTTCGAGTAACAAAAATCTAAGAATTAGATTGTTAATGTACTTAAAGAAAACCTAGTAATTTAGTAAATATAAATCAAAAAATAACATAATATAAAACTTTCTTCTTCTTTTTACTTTAATTTGCTTCAATGCCAATGACTTGGGTATCAGGCTTATGTCAATATGTTTAAACCCTTACTAGATTTGAATGGATAAGGACAGAGTTTTGTAAAACTCCATGTGGATGCCTTAATGTTAGAAATTTGATTACCACCACGTTGGTTTTATTTAAGCCAAAAGTGACTGTATTTGACTGAGATGGTGTAGGGCTATGTTATCCGCTAATGCTAGCAAGTGTTATTAGCAAGACTGGATGAACTTAGCTATATAGTAGATACCCAAATCTTTATGAAACTATAAATACTATGTGTATTCTGGTAGTCAGTTGAGCATAAAAAGTTGAGCATTGAAACTATAAATAGTATAAAAGATGGAAGTGCTTTGAAACTTGCATTCATCGTGCTCTGGTGGCACAAGCATTTGCAGTTGTGCAAAAGTTTCTGGGAGTCATTTTAAATAAAACTGTGTATACTGACAATCTCAAAATACTGCATATATACAGTTGTGGTGTTTTCATGAAACAAATTTATTCTCCCAATGTGGGACATGTACATTTGTGACACATTATGACAGATTTCTGTTTATAATTGCTGAATTATTAGAGCCAAGTGTGAAAATGATATTGAAAATTAGAAATAATTATTAGAAATGCATCTTTCTATCTGCAGCCTGCTCCTTATTGTCAGCTTTAGACTGCTCTAGCTAGCATTCCTATCATAACATACATAACATCTTTAATAAAAAAAAAAATAGACTCTTCTGAGAAATATGTAAGTGTTATAATGGCTTTTTTGATATGTTTTCCTCTTAATTTTTTTGGTAAAAGTGTAACTGAAAATTACCTGTGGACTTGTGGTAGTGCAGTTTCTGCAGAAATTGAAATAACACACAAAAATGAGCTTTTATTATGGGTTTTTCCACCATGACCCTTGACTATGTCAGCATTTTTCAGCATTGCTCTTTTCTTACTGAATTATTGCAGCCAGCACATCTTTAGAGTGTGATATCATCTCAATGCATATCTACCACATCCAGCCGCCTTCACAGGCAATTCAGTGTTGGATGCTGTTTTCACCTGGTATTAAGAGGTGGCTTATGAATGAATCGGGCTGCTCAGTTACTGAAAGCACTAATGGACCATGTGAAAGGTTTTCGTGGTAAAAATCTTTTTTAAGCCAGAATTCTTTATAATAGATTACAGATAACACTAAAGTAGCTTGGTTATCAAGGGATATCTACAGCAAACAATTCAAACAGGTGGTACTGATTCAGCTTATTCTGTTTTCATCCCAAAAGGTTGCAACGGGCATTAGAGAGAAGTTTTTTATTATGTATTACATTGTGTAGTCTTGCTCGTTTCATACAATACTTATTATTTATACCTATTCATATACTCGTCTGTTTATTTACTTTACCTGCCTACATAGATACCAATCGAGCTTAAAGTGGGAATCACCAGAGACTCCACAATATGGTTTTATCATTAATGCACAATAAAATATTATTGCAGTTTAAAATTTTTTGCAATATACTAAGTATTGAAATAACATATATTGCAATTTATTGCTTTTTCAATTGGAAATTGTATCTCCAAAAGCAGACTTTGACAGTACCTGTTTTATCAGTCTGTCAAACAGACCAACTGAATAACGCTGTTGATAAAACGTGTCATAAATTTGGCATGCACCTGACAAACTAAAGTGTTTGCATTAGTCTAGTCTAATTTCACTGAATGCAGACATGTGGAGGCACTGCTGGAGGATGTCGAGGAGCATTCAGATGCCTGTGAAGCTAAGGAGGAACTGTATCAGCAATGGTTTCTGATCAATGAAGCAATTATTGCTGCTTCTCAGTCTGAGAAGGATTATAAAACCAAGCAATTTGAAGTCCACCCCTCTACAAGAGATTATTCACACATGGAAAACATTCAAGACAGTTAAAAATCTCAGCACAGTGCAGCACAGATGTTAAGATTGTTACAGGGGGATCAGTTCTGGTTGTGATTCTACTGGTTTATTTTTAGTCATCAGTATGTTTTAATCTATTACAACAATTTCAAGTTTGCGGTAATACTGTTTCATGTGGTTACAGCTGTTATATACTTAGTACAGTCGGCCATCAATTAAAAGGAGCTAAGAGTGTTGGATATGGAGAGCATGCCTTGGCCACAAACCTTTGTTTTCCATAAAAAAAAGTAATACGGGAAAAAGTAATATGCTAAAATATAACACAAAGTGCATCAGAGCAATGTGCTGATCATTACAATCTGCTTGCTATTCCCTGGGGATATCTATCCATCTCCTGGACCGCTTAAGAATAAGCTATTGGAGAAGAGGGAGCACAAATGGAGCGGCCGGCGTATAACCTGGCTCACCTGTGTGGTGTTGACTTGATTAACTCTGTGGCAGGACTGGAGGTGGCCTTTGAGGATGAAGAATTTCCAGTGAAAAGCAGCCACTCAAAAATAAGGAGGTCAGCACGGTGTCAAACAGTGTTCAAATGCCAATTGCAAACTCCAGTGAATTTGAAGATGATGTTAAAACATCATTGTTCAACTTTTTCTGGTTTCAGAAGTCAAGATTCAAAGCCAGCTCCAGGCATCAGTAAACCATGGACTGTTAATACTGCTAGTAGAAAATTTTTCCAAAGTTATTTCCGGCTCTAAAGCTAAGCCGCAGGATCTTTCAGGAAGAATCTGAATATAACTAGCATAAAGTGTAAAGGTGGGGGAGTTTATCATCCCCAGCCCCTATTTGGACTTCCTATGTTTATATGAGACCTGGATTAATGAAAATAGTGCTAGTGCTGCAATAAATGTGGCTGGTTACAACAGCTACAGGAGAGAGAAAGGAGTTGCAAGGAAAAGCCCGATTTCTTTAATTAAAAAAAAAAGGAGAAGGCAACTCAAAGTAAAATTGGGATCAGTTAAATAAAATGACAGGATGATATTGTCAAGAAAAAAACCCCTTCAAAATTCAAATAAATGGAAACTTAATACATAGTTTGGTAAAAGTAATGCAGTCTATTAACCTCTATTTCAGTAGCCACAATTGTTCAGGGATTTTCAGTCAGTGACATCAGTATGCGCTCAGATCAAACAGACTTTAAATTTGGGTATTTTTCAGGATTAGAGGTTCTCAAAACTATTAAATTATTGTAACGTTCCAGAGTTAGTGATGTTTTTTGGTATAGGCACAATAATGATGAAGGATCTGAGAGACACAGGTATTTGGAAATCAGTTGTTGTTACACCCATACACAAAGATGGTGCCCCATCAGCATTCTGCCTGTTTTTAAATTGTCTGGAAAACTGGTAGAACAATCAGATTATCATTTATTTACACAGCTGTTCTTCTGCTTTGAATCCAGGTTTTCCCGCTAATTATCCTCTGATACAATAAGGTTTTCCTTTTTTATGGAAAAAGTGAGATCCTTATTAGACTTGGGAGGTTTTGTAGAAACTAGTTTTCATTTAATACTCACTGCACATTTCTTGAGCTGATTTAAAGTTTGCTTTGGTGTCCTTGGCTATTGTTATCATATGATGGTGGTGTGGGAGATTTGACTTTGTAAATGTGATGTGTCATATCCATCGTCTTTGTCTCGTCCCTGTTAAAGCACGGATGGTGCTTCCTTGGCTTTCTCCAATCTATAATATTGTTTTACCAACTTCATCCAGCACATTGTCACCTCTGCTAACCTTAATAGAAAAAAGTTAACACTGCCATCCGGTCGACTTTAATTGATTTTATTAATCTATGGTGTAGTGGTTTAAATACTATATTTATCCTAACAAGTGAATGCCCCCCAGGAAGTGACACAAATTTATTTGGGATTGTGTCATTAAGAGCATCCATTGTAAAACTCTGTTAAATCAAACATGCATCACTACCTGCTGTGATAACCCCTTGTGAATAAGGGAGCAGCCAAGAGTAGCATTCTGTAGCATTTGTACTAACAAATTGTATTTGCAATTTATATAATAAGATATGGATTTTTTTGTGTCAGTATATCGATAAGATATTGCCATGCAAAATATCATGACGCTATGCTCTATTGATTTTTTCCTACCTACCTACTCTATCTTGATAACAAGGACAGCATTTCGTTAAACCTGACTCTCTACAGCTAATTAAAGCTGACACCAAAATATCAGTTTGTTGCTACAAAAACAGTCTATTCCTTGAAATGCCATACATGCTAAATGTGATACACAATACCAGACATTTAGTCAATTCTGAAAGACATACTGACAGACTTAAAAAAGTAAAAACCATGCCTCTGCCCTCTCCTTTCCACTCTATCTCCAGACACTCTCTCAGTGCCTCGCTGGTCCCCACAGATTCCCCGAAGAGATCTGGGAAACTCAATAAAACACAGGTAGGCCTAAAGGAAAATATGTGGGTGAGTGTGGATGAGGTTCCTTCTGTGCATATGCTCACATCTGTGATAGAATGGCAGTCCAATTAAAAAGGGCTTCTTGTGTAACTTACTCAGTTTTCTTTCTCACTCTCACCCTGCTTGACTCCAAGCAGGGTGCTTATGATCTAAAAAGTAAAACAATAGCTACAGTATTAGTTGGAGGATTTTAGCAACCTCGAGATCGTGGGTGTTTTTCCTGTTGAAAGTCTGTGAGGTGGAAAGAGGATCTCTAAGCATCTTTATACGGAGCCAAACTGAGCACAAATGTAATGTATATAGCTGTTATTTGAAGATTAAGGTGATTAATGGTTTTAAGAAATACCATTATTCCATCCAGCAGCCTCCTTGATGTCAGTTTGCAGTTTTCAGAAGTGTGCCCTTGATCATATTGTTGGCATGTTATGATAAATGTATTTAGGAAAGTAGTGAATAACCCACCACTTTAGAGCCTCTCCTGTGCTGAAAGATAATTTTTTTTAAGCAGAATCGGCTCTTAATTTCATATTATCACTCATAGTTGACAGCCTACTAAAGAAATCAGTCAGGTGGAGTTGGTTGGAGTAAGTTGTGCCTTTCAGTTGATGAAAAAGATTGGCATAATAAAGAGATTTTGATTCTGTCAGACTACATTAGTCACCTGCCATTAGCCAGCCACACTGCTGGCATTGCATCAGCCAATAGTCACATATGTGCTCAGACCACTTAGTGTGTGAAGGGAATTGGTTGTTGGTACCAAAGTACATTGTGGATTTGTTTATTGTAGAAGAGACTGTGTTGGAATCCTCAGCAGCGACACAGGCCTGTGAACCCCCGTTACTCAAACTGATTGTTATATTGATGTAAAAACCATACAGCCTATTCGTTCGCACAGTGTTACTGGAAGATGAAAATGAAATGGCCACAAATTAAATCAGGAGGTGAGGGAGATTAGGAAGGTAAACACTTTCAGAGGAGTAGCTTCTTCAGGCATCTATTATCCTTGCAGAAAGGTTAGGCAGGGAATGAGATATGTTTGCCAAAAGCCTTCTGTCAGAATGAGAGAACGTTATGAAAGGCAAAAGGTCAGAACCCGTGTTCCTCTCATTGTAATCCTCAGCTCCTTCATGTCATATAGATGTGCAACAAGTGAAAAATCGATGCCCTTTTTCGGAATCTCACTTTCTCTTCTTTTGGCTTGTAGGTTTTCCACGAAATACTGGATGTCCCAGACATGCATAGTATGTGGAAAGGGAATGTTGTTTGGACTGAAATGTAAAAACTGCAAGTAGGTATCAGTACTGGTCAGTGCTGAGTACCCATTGTTGTCAGTGTCCACATTAGTAATTAATATCTAATCCCACACATTCGCTTATATTCCTGTCATTACTTTGCTTAATTAGTGTGCCATCCCGCTTGTTTTTTCAATTATATCTCTTTGTCTCTTTTGATTGTTTTTCGACATGACACACATCAGTGACCCCTTTTGTTTTCAGCTTACTTGAATAAATTTCCAATTTGCATCTGTCTCTTTTTCCACCCACTTTGCATAGGTGTTATTGCTGTGTAATAAACACCACATAACAACAAAACACACACTAATCAAGTTTCTGTTTCGGGCATACTCAGGCTGAAGTGCCACAACAAATGCACCAAAGAAGCCCCACCTTGCCATTTACTGATCATTCAGCGAGGCGGACGGGAATCCCTCAAAGGTATTTTTTGATGTAATTTCCAATGTTGATATTATGTTTATACAAAATTGACGGACTTTGACATTTTGTTGATCATTGATCAAAAACCACTGATCAATGGCCATAATTGAGTACCATTTAAAGAGAGTTGTCAGCATTGCAAGATGGCGAAAGCGTTCCAGGTTTGAGCGTGGAGTCAAGGAGGCCATTTATGTGAAAATGGAAGGACCATCTCTGAATCCAGGAGGGGGCCTAAGGGTACATCTTTTGCCATCTTACAATGCTGTGATTGCAGCCATTCCCCAACTCTCTGTGAATGGTAGTCATGGCCATTGATCAATGGGCTTTGATCAGTAGTTGTTGACCAATGGCCATGAGAATTTGCATATTAATGATCAAGGAACTGACTTTACAGCCAATCGTTCATTCAGTGGGCTGGTTTCAGTAATTGTGCAGTGTACTATTATAAGGTTGGGGAAACCTGCAGTCAGCTGAGACTGAAGAAGTCACTTGGATGAGTGACGAAACATTTGTCCCACTGAAAACGTGACGTCCAGATGAACAGAATCAACTTTTGGGATTTACTTATCTGGATGATTGAGCGTGCATCAAGACATTATTTTACACTTGTTGACTATTAGTTTTTATTTTATTATGTTTAACAGATAATTAAGCAATAAATAAATGGTTAACAAGACTTCTAAAACCGTTGTGTGAGAGTATGGGAGGCCTAACTATTAGCCCGCTCAGCCAGGATTAATGCCTTTGTCAAGCCTTGTGAAGCTATCCAGCTCTCGCTTGTTTTAGGCAACCCAAAGGCATGGCTCTACAGCTCTCGTGATTAACTAAATTTGGACATATCTGATTCCATTGAGCAAATGAAGTTATATTTTTTTTCAGCTTTCATTTGTAAAAGTGAAACTGCTTCTGCAGGTATAGGCTATCTCCTGATTAATTAAGCCATATAGGTTTGACAAATGTGCGTCACAAGCTGTTTATACTGACACAGACAGCACTGAAGAAATTCCTATTATCTGCAATGAGAATTAAGATTCTTTTTTTCTTTTGTCCTCTCTCTGCCTTCCCCCTTTCCTTCTTCTCAAAATAAGATCATCAAGGAACAACTCAAGGTAAAGAGCACTAATTAGATGTCTTCTCTGCCTTCGTAAGAGAAAATGACAGTTTATTAATGACATAGTTTGCTTAAGGAAATTTGTTTTAAGAGTGTGTGTGTGATAAAAGATGGATAGTGTTAAAGGAGAGGCAGTTTGTTCATTTTTTTCACATTAAAAGCTGTGTCTGATAAAGAATTTGTCTAATTTTCCTAGAGCTGTTAGGCAATTATTGTTTAATGTCAATCTCCCGTAGTGCTTTATTGTTCCTTTATGCTTTTTTCTTTCTGCAGTAGCTCGTCTGGTACGGACTGAATCAGTGCCATGTGACATCAACAACCCGCTCAGGTACACAGACCTGCACATCAGTCAGACGCTCCCCAAAACCAACAAAATCAACAAGGTAAGGGTAAAAAATAAACCGTGTATTACAATCTGCGTATTTCTTGTCCTACATATCGCTTTCATTTATTTTTGGGAGCTTTGTGAGTCATTGTGTATTTGGAATCAGGAAACCTTACGAAAATATCTTCAGCAATATTGATGTTTACACAGATGGATTTGTTTTCCTACACTGGATATTTTACAGCCAGCACATCTATCAAATTCAGCTCAGTTCCAGAGAAAAAAGTTTATCACTAAATTCCCATGGTGGTAACACCATGCTGGAAAGACTGTGAAACAAACACGCTTGTTAGGAAATAATGGGCAGGTGTGAACATGTGAGTAAGCCACAGCTTTTATGTATGCCTTTGTCTAACAGTTTCAGGTTTTCAGAAACTGGAGTGTGTTCGTTTTGTCAACGCACATATGTTTTGTGTTTCTCATGGATTCACTTTTCCAAAACTCAAATCTTGGTTATAAACTTTGAAATATTATTAAGTAAAGTAAAATGGTGGTATCACTAAATTCTGTTAATTTCTTCAGATGTGATAAATGTAATTTAAAGTTTATTAGGAACAATTATCTTGTGGAGTGATTATAATTAAAAAATAACCATTTAACCCCTGGATTTTATTTCATGTTCGTATCATAATTACTTAAAGAATTAGAAACTAAATTCATTTAGTTTTCTTGTGTTTGTATGTTTCTTTCAAATTGCAAATTCAAACTGTGGTTCTATCATAATTTAAATTAATGACGTTAGGTATCAAAATATATGGCAGTGCACAATCTGCTGTGCACCAGTCGAGCTGCACATACCACATTGATACTATCTTTACTTTTTAATATAATTTTTCAGAGTTAATCTTTTTCTGCAGGAGATGATGATATCTTCCTAAAATCTAACCTGCATTTGATTGATTGTTATATTGCTTATACAATAGACTTTGATCATTTGTTACAAACTACAGATGCTCTGATTTATTTTTCTTTTTGTTTTTACAAAGTATTCCCCAACTCTTCAGGTTGCTTTACCACCTTCCAGGCAGCCATTGATTTCTCTCTATCCAGTGCGCTTTCAAAATCAAGTAGCAGAAACTATATAAATTTGCTTGAGGAAGATGATCCATCATATTGAAAAGCCTAATTTTTGTCTGGTGTTTTCTCTTTGGATAACAGTTTGAAATCTCTACGTGTTGGTGCATTTCAAGGGCACCTGAGATTTAACAGTTGGCTGCTGAACAAAAAAATATTGTCTATTTTTCATCAATATCAGGTACTTCTTTTTTTTTTTGCTTGCTTTCTGGATAAAATTTCTAAATTGTTTAATTTCTAAATTGATTTTAAGTCTGTAAAGTCAGGAAGAACTTCACTGAAAATTAAATGAATTGAATTATTTGAATGAATAAAATGCTACACCCAAGTCTTTGGATGACTAGACGTCAGTATGAAATGATTATATTAAGTAACTATTTGAATTTAAACTAGATGGAGTCTAGTCAGGGGCTGTCATCTAGATCTGAAATGATTTTTGCAAAATCTTCGGCTGAAGAACTGATCTGATGTGATGAAAATAAGATGAGAAGATGAGAAACATTTTACAGAAAAGTAAAGTTGACTACATTTCTCATTGTGATGGATTACATCTGCCAGGCAAGTTCCAAGTCTCTGATGTTTACTTTGTAATGAAATGAATAAAAAGTTCTGCCTTGAAGGTAGAAAATCAGTCTAGAGGCTCCAAGTTAGACGGAGAGAGAGTTCAACAATAAAGCAGAGTGAGAGCCTTTTACAATTAACAAACTGAGGGCCAGATTTGGTAACTGTGTCAGTATAAAACTCTCTTTTAGTGATTTTAAAAGCTACAGTTGGTGTTTATTAAATATGTGCAGTGTCAATTGTGCAACTGAAAGGTGTGGACAGCCTCATTGCAGATTGCAACATTGTACATTGCAGTTTTGGAGATTTAGGTCACATTTCTGGAGAGAAACTCACAATAAAAACAGTTTCTGTGTGTGTTGTATTTCTCTGCATCGCACACACTTATAGCCACGTGTTGTTTTAGATCTTCATGGGATCTATTGCATGTCTACAATTAATGCCAAACAACAGTTAATGGGGCTGTAAGGGATTTACGTGTGTTATATGAATGTCTAATCTTACAAAATTTTGAGTTGGCTGTGTAGAGAAAACAAAAACGATGCATGAAACAGCAACTTCTTTAATATGCACCCAAGTCACGCACACACAAACACACACATTTCAAATTTTTTAAGTAGAAGAGTTTGTGGTAAGGCAGCGATGCACTTGATAAATCGTGTGCTTCACCTGAGTTGTCAGATTTACCCAGCGATGACACACATACACATATATACACTCATACTGTCCCTGGGAACTTCTAACCACAGAGTTTGCCAAAAACATATTGATTCCTCTTCAACTGCCTCTTGTTTATCTTAATTGCCATGCTGTTTCCAGAGAGAAACACATGTGTGCAACCTGCACTCACACTATATTATTTTGGTTAGTACATTACTCTTTCCCTCATCGGCTCTGCTCATTTTTGTTCCATTAATTTTTGCTGCTCTTGGTAGATTACATTGGTCATTACCTCAACTGTGGTTTAAATGAGCTCATTGTTCGTAGAGCAACCACAGAGCTATCGTCTCTCATGGGGGCATTTTTAGCGATTGCAGCCTCACGCTAATTTGCCCCCACTTAGTAAATTTGACTGTATAAATTCACCTTAAAATTACAAATACTTAAGTCTGAAAAAAGCCTATGCTTATCTTTATCTGTTCTGTCTCTTCTCAGGATCACATCCCAGTCCCATACCAACCGGACTCCAGCAGTAACCCCTCATCCACCACCTCCTCCACCCCTTCCTCCCCAGCTCCTCCATTGCCCAGCAGTGCCACGCCACCCTCCCCTCTGCACCCCTCCCCACAGTCAGCAAGGCAACAGAAACAGTTCAACTTAACAGGTATTTTATTTAATACACATATAATTCCTATTCCCCTCTAAAAGTTTGGTGCATTAGGTGCATGCCCACAATAACAATGCTAAAAGAAGGTATGTTGGCTCTTTTAGCTTAGCATTTAGCAATGCAAGAATTATGCTAATGACTGAAGTGAATGTCAGAGCTGAAGCAAAATTAAGTAATTGCAACTGTGAGCTAATTTCTTTTTCTCATAGAAGCATTTTCCTTTGCTAAAAGTAAATAAAATGCCAAAGAAGGGATTGAGAACCGAACCTTGAGTTGAAATTATGAACTCAAATAAATAGATATTGCGACATAGATTTGTTCAAACTAATTTGACTTTGAATACTAAACTAACAAATCGCCATGTGAACTTGGACAGTCTACCCAACTTTTATCAAACTCTAGCTCTTCTTGTTGCCTTCCACAGCCTCCAGTTATTTCAAATACAAGCAACAGTTCATATTCCCCGGTAAGTACCTCAAAATTGATTATTTCCCCTTCCTATAATGCATTGCATCTAGCCAAGGATGAGTAAGGAGGGCCCTTTTGATGTTGTTGGTGGTTTTCATCCCCTCACCTTGGCCTGCTTGAAAAATCTCTACACCCACTCATGCTGTCTCATTTGGGCTTCCTAATGATTTGTCAATATCCAGACGCTTTGCTCTTGCCCACACTGGTACCATACAGTCTTTGCTCATTTGGCAGGTTATTATAGCTGAGACAAGCTGGAGTGGTGTTAGGTAAAGAGTGAAATCTGAAGAGACAGATTTTTGGAAATGCATAATTATAGTGCTCAGCAAGCTGCAGCATGTTCTGATTATTGTTGCCACACATGCTCTTTACTTCAGCTACCTTTATAAACTATGTAACAACACATCTACTTCTTACTGTTCACCATCAATCAAAAAAATCTATACATGGATGTAATGTCTTAGTCATCTCAAATTTACTGCTCTCTCTTATTCTGAAAAGACTACAAAAATGTAGTAATATGTGGTCTTCATACAAGTGTTCACTTTGGTGGGGTTGAGTATATATCTGCAGAGATTCTGCTGGCATGGGATACACAAAATTTGACATTATATCAAATGGATCACCGATATCATTATATGAGGGCCTCCGATTCCCAACACTGGACAGTTTAGAGCTTTCAGCCCTGTTGGCTTGCAGGTCTTTGGAGCAAATCCACAACAACATCAGTGCAGACTCCACACAGAAAATAAAAACATGTCCCTCGCTGTGAGGAGATGGTGCCAGCTTATAATGCACCATGCTACAAAGAGAACAGTTTCTGTGGCTCACTCTTTGTGTTTTTGCATTAAAAAAAATGTCAAAGTGTGCCAATACAGACAACAAGTCTAGCAGTGAATCCTCTGATGTCTTTCAGAGGTGGATACAACAGCACAGCTGACCTTACTCTGTCTTGCATGTTGAAGATCAATGCTTGCAAAAAATAGTTGGGAGAATCCAACCTGTTCGCATCTCCACCAGTATAAAACGTTATGCAAACTATTTTCTATGTGCTTCATACTGCAGAATATGGTGTTATCACCACTATTAGAATGTCAGAAAGTTTGGTTGTAGAGCTATCTTCGAAGCATTTAAGTGAAAACAGCAGATGAGTTGAAAAATAAATGCTGGATATAACTTTAGATATAGCATTTGATACAAGAGCCCATATAAGCCATTCTGATGCTCTCACATCAAGATATTCTCTTTTCACATGCATAAATCTTCACTCGCACATATTTCCATTTCCCTTTCATATTTATAAATTGTCACACTTACATACACACATTCTCCGTTTACATATTGTATGTGTAGATTCTGCTTGTAGCTACTTTCAATCTCCTTTCACATGCATATATTTTGACTCATAATTACATATATATATATTTCTCATTTCAAAACATACATAGTTTTACCTCTTACGTATGAGTCTTTGGACTCCCATGCTTATACATTCTTTGTTCTCAGATACACACATTCAATTTAACGAATACAGGTCTCTGACAAGAATTAAGTAGCAACTGAAATTACATTCATGTATTAAAATGTATTGAGCAGATAGGTGCTACATATTCCCAGAGAATCTCATGGTTCAAGAAATACAGACGCTATCAATACATTAGGGCCCTATGCTTAGATGAATTCATTTTCTAGTGACTTCTGAAAACCAGACAAAGATCCAGATCTTAGATGCAGCTTGATTTTTCATTTTTCAAAGATTGTCATCAATTTCACCGTACTTTAAAGTTGTGATAGGAATATATGTTTGGGGATTTATCTTTTTAATTCTGTAAGCCATTTATGACTTCATTTTATTTTATACACAAATGTATTTTTTGTTGCTCTATTTGTGTTTATCGTAAGTATACTGCTTCCTCCAAAAATATTCTAATGCCTTTGATTATGGTTTTCAGTATCATGAAGTATCTGCCTAAAGGCTTTTGCAGCAGTAAAATAGTCATATTTGACTGCTAAACATTACAGCATAATGATGACAAATCAAACATTGCAATTAAATCTACACCATTAATGTGGGGAAAAATAATTTTATTCCTGTAGTCATATGTTAACAATAAATACATGCAAATTTCCTACAAATTTATGGTGGGAAGCTTTTTTATGATGAAAAATACTGCAATGAAGTTTAATAATGCATCTTAAAAAATTATCCTTGATTTTAAAAAATCAAACTGTCAAAGCAATTTTATTTAATGGAGTCTGGCAGTGTGAACTTGAGCTAGTTTGAGATGTGAGTGCCAGAGTTAAAACTACTGAAGTTGTACATCCAAATAATGATATCGAAGGCTGGAAACTAGAAGGGCTGATTTCCAATGAGCATACTAGCTGCTGGCTAAAGGAACCTGCTTTGTAAGTGCTGCTGTATTTGGGTGAGATACAGCTTTGATGGTTCAAGGCAGAAGTTTGAATGAATAACTCTCACACTTAAGTGATGAGGAGTAACCACAATCTGGAGTACAGTCTGGTAGGAAGGCAGCTGTTGAACTGGTGAAACTGTCTGAAGATGGATATGAGTGTCAATCTTCTGCACATGCCCCACTGAACCTGTGTTGTCCTTATAGTCAGTAGCCTGGATATAATAAAATGTAAGTGTAAATGTTAAAAAATGTCTTTACTGCTGTTTTGTTTATCACAGTATTGCTTATTTAGCTATAGTTAGAGAACATGTAATTTTCATTAGCTGATCACATAGTTTTTTTTCTTATTGTAGGAGGACAAACATATGCCTGCAAAAAAATACATCTTATATATGAAGAACCTAAAATAAAATAAGTCAGCTTTGCTTAGGCCAATGTAGCAACCAATCACCTAGAGTAAAAAAAATAACTCAACGTGATAACCGATCTATACTCAGCTCATCTTTTAATCTGTAAATTCTTATTGGATGACCTGCATGCCATTTCCACTGTATTCCTTGTTTCTTGTGTTTGGAGTCCCCAGTTTCCACAGGTGTATAAAACCGAGCACCTAGTCATACAATCTGCCTTTGCAAACAGAAGAATGGGTCTAATAAAGATTCTAAAGATTGTGTTGAATTTGAGCAAGAAGTCAGTTCATGAAATTTCTTCCATTTGGAACTATAAGTGGTATTATTGCAAAGCATTTAGGAACTATAGGAACCTAGCCAAGAAGTGATAGATCACGTAAAGTTACATTCCAATCTCGTCAAGCTCTGCTGACTAAATATGCATTTGCATGACTAGGCAATTCCTGTCGATGTCATATGTAGGTGGTCCAGTGCTTTTAAGCATCTAGTGTATTCTTTTGTTAGACACAAATAAATTAAAAATTTTCTTCTTACGTCCACACATCCTTTATAGAATTAAATGCATATTAAATTAATGTGCATGAGAACTACATATGAGGAAAAATATAAAAATGTCAGAATAAAAATGTATGAATATGTGCATTGAAATATATAAGTAAAAGGGGTGAATGTGAGAATTAAAAAGAAAATGATATAAAAATGACAGTGTGAGCATGTAAAAGGAGAATGTATTTATGTGAGAGTTTCAGAATGCGTGTTGCCTTTCATAATTTGTGTCACAATTCACTGCATATCATTATAGACAGCTTTTACACACAAAGAAAAAATTCTGTGTAAACATTTAGAATCTATAAAGTCATAGTTTTTTTAGGTGCTCTTTAAACAGAATGGCAGTCTGTCTCTTTGTTGACATAATGAAGGTCATAATTTCATTGTGTGAATAAGTATTGTAGATGCCAAGTGTGTTTGAAAATTTCCATGTACTCACAGGCACCCTGGAAGTCTTCAAATCCTGTTTAATGGGAGGTTAATGGGAGTTAATTTATAATTTGGCATCAGATTTCACCTATTCATAGCAATGCCACAGGATTAGCCCTATGGTAGATGACATCATGCCTTAATTATTTTTTCCAAAGTACAGTAGGAAGAGTTACCTTGTGTCATTAACTAGGATATTACACCATAATTCAATTCAATTCAGTTTTATTTATATAGCGCCAAATCACAACAACAGTTGGAATAATAGTATTCCTTCTTCCATTATGATAGTTAGCAATGATAGCTGAAAACAGAAGGCTTACAATGATGATAGCATTGCTACTACTGCATTTTACTGGGAAAGAAAAACTCTTGCCTTGTGTAATAGTATCACAGTTTTGACACAGCTGGTATTTCGGTCACCACTGTGGCTCTGTTGTAGCTGGTGTTCCCTAGCTTTTCTATTACATGATAAGCAGCACCACCAATGTTAAAAATGACTTTTAATGAATGCAGTTTTGTTTCAATTCGTTAATTTGATGAGTTGTAACTCGAATGCTTCCAGATGTTGCTCCCGAGGCTCCTCCCAGCCGAGCTCCGCAGGTCATTCTGCATCCCGTTCTTTCTGAACCAGGGTAAGTAAAATCAATGACAGAAATAGTTCAGTAGAACCACATGAATACATTTAAAGAAAGAAAGTACTACCAATCATCTTTTCTCTCTGTCAGTCTGCCTTTTCCTCATCTGCATGCTTTCTCTCCTTCTCCTCCTCCCCTCTTCCCCCTTTCTCTCTGGGGTAGTTGGTCAGAGGCCAAGTTGAACTTATTGGAGCACAGATATTTGGGTGGCAATTTCAATGCGAGGGACGACATGATGATTACTCAGAGACTAATGTTAGCATGGCCTTTAGTTCACGCTACACTTGGGATGCCAAGTGGATTTTCAGTAGCTCTTTGAGGAAGCCAGTGGTCATAGGACGACAACCGGAAGAGAAGGATTAGTGATGAGATGCCTCTCGACCCAGATGTTAATTAAATCAGATCTCAATATATCGCATGAAACGGGGCAAGAATCTATAGGAAGATGATCAGTTGTGATGAAATACAGGTCATGCTGAAAGACTGGAGTAGATTCATCAAGAACAAATAATTATATTTTTAAAAAAATCAACATGGTAGTAAGACTGCGAAAAAATCGAAAGTATGACTTTTACACTGAGGTACGGGGCTGTATATGTACAAGCTGTCTTTGATGTCATCATGCCTCATTTATATAGCAGCTGCCAGATTTGAGATTAAAAAACAGGAAGGCAAAGTCTGGAAATAATAGGAATCATACAAAAATAATTGCATGCATACATAACAATAGACTCCATGTGTGGGATAGTTTAGCATTTAGCATTACATTCATTACCATAATCATTATAATGTGACGTGAAATATTGTTTTCTGTATCTTGAAACCACATTCAGGCGTTGAGCTGTAAAGCTTCACTGTCAGTTTTTCACAAGGTGCTCCAAATGCATGCATATGAGTTTTGTTTTGTTGTTATACTGGTCTCTGTGTACACTCCGGGGCTGATTGTGAATGAGTTGCAGCTGGCAAATTTTGTCATCTCACTGAGGACAAAATATTCATTTTTATTGAGACTAATAGACTGAATTTATTCACAGCCAAAAGGGTATACAGGAAAGGAAAATGTGCACAGCCCACAATGAAAAGCCAACTATTTTGTTATTAGGCTTTTAACAATTAACAACACCCATGTGACTGTGACAGCTAAGAACTAAAAGACTTGATATTAGTTTGTCAACAAGAAAAACGGGGTTTTAACATTTATTGAAATCAGAGCAGCAGGAGACTGTATATAAAACACTAATTAAATGACAAAGAAAAGCCCCTTGTACTCTCTCTTGGGGAAATAGATAAGAGTCATTACCTGTTCCCCCAATATTAACCATTCAAGGTTTGAGACGTATTTTATTTTTGCTTTTCATAGAAATATGTTCATAACTTGGGAACAAATTCTACCAGAGCCAGCTTGTAGGAAGTTATGAAAAGGCATGAACCACAGTAAATTAAGAAAACAAAATGTACAACTACTACTGAGAAATGCTAGCTGACTCATAAGGCTGCACACTCTGACCTGAATGCCCCCCAAAAAAATTCTCCATTAGTTTCAGTCAATAAATGCATCATAATTTACCTTGGATTCTTAACATATAATATATCTGTATTTATTCTTGATTTGGGCATTCACATACAGCTAAATATTTAGGAATCATGAATCTCTTGAGAAAAGAGCAAGAGAAAACTCATTTAAAAACCCATATCTTTGGCAACCTTTTCTCCATTTTTCCCCTTTCTCACTCCCGTTCATCGTTCCCTGCCTTTTTGACAAATGGGAATGCATAAGCGTGGTTATAAAACCCACATTCTTCTGATTTAATTAATGCTATCGCCCCTCCTGTCCCTTCTTTGTATGCTCTTACAGTGGCAGCTGGCAGATTTCTTTGCCCTTAATAGCTTCATCTCAGGGTTAATGAGGGCCTGTTTTAGACCCGAACGCCCTGCAGGATTCCCTCATTAGAGCAGAGATCGAACCGGTGGTAGCAGCCCTTGGCGCCACAGGAATCACATTATTTTATATGCTGCCTCACCTATGGTCTTTTCAGTCAAGGGTTGCTCTGCGAACAAGTGTTAATATACCATAGAATGTGGGGAGTTATACACTGATGTTACACAGACGATTATGTGGACAGTGGGGGTTGAGTGGAATAAGGGAAACGGGTTCATTTATGTCATGTGAGTGGCTGTAGGTGACAATGTACACGCCTGGGTCAGAATTTAATAAGGGCACAGGGTGCAAATGCACTTAAAAACTCGTAAAATGAATGTGAAAATAAAAATTAGGGTCAGAAAAAGGCTGCCACTAATGAGAAGACCTCTCTCTTACATTTCCCCCTGTTCACATTGTAGTTATTTATCTATTAAATGGTCTCAGTATCATTGTGTTTTTGCCACCTGAGACATTGCAGATGATTCACAGCATAAAAGCCTGTGGTTCAGTAATTCTTTTTATTGTAATGTGTGCAAAAATAAAAATAATAGCTTTTTTTGATGAAAAAAGACACATTGCCAAGAAAAATTATGCTAAAGAATGAAAAAAAAATACAAAAATAAAATGTAACTCCTGAAAAACACACTGACAAAAGGAAACACGATTAATAATAAAGTAAACACTGGAGATAGACTAGTTGCGAGAGGTAAACAATAAAAAAAAATCTGTATCTAGTATTTAGAAATATCAGAAAAGAAATATTGGTTTTTAATGTTTAAAATAAGACAAATCTAATAACAAAATATCTATTCACAAAGACCAGCTCATCTCATAGTCATTGAAATGGCCTCTATAAAAGACCTTATGTGTTATAATGGGATTTTGAATCTACAGCATGTCTCTTCTTTGGTGTAAAAGCACAATAGAAAGGTTACCGGCTCAGAAAATAAGGTGGCATGCAGCTTTTAAATTGCAGGTCTCAGAGCTGCCTGCAGATATTTATTGCATTGTTTAAAAGTGCACAAAAAGTATCACTAAAACCAAATATTTCAGACCTTCAGAGCTTAATTGGTGCTTAATGATTCTGGGTTCAGACCTTTTTAAAAATATTCATGTGCCATTCTCATGCTAAGTACCGAGATCGGTTGAACACTGGCCAAAATCACTGGTTCTGATATGCACATTTGCCTCTACAAAATCTCTCAGGAACACGAGACTGATCTATTGCTGTTATTCTGTAGGAAGTTGAATCGACTGACAGCAAAGTAACACATTGTAAAAGAAAAAAAATGTTGTGGAAGTGGTACAAAGAAGTACAAACAAAACAAAACAGCAGTGAACCCTGGACAAGCATTTTAATCGATGGAGAGGGCTCCAGCACCCAAAAGGCATCACAAATGACATTCAGTCATTTCTACTTTAATAGCAACTTTAAAAACAAAAAGCAAAAAACAAAACAAAGAAAATTCCTACTTTTTAGTCAGAGACAACCAGGTGTTGTAAAACAGAGCGCAATTCAGTCTTTGTGACAGACACACAGGGGAAAGGGTGTCAAGAGAAGTTATCTATTGCCAATTAGAATATATCAGGTGCAGGTGCAATCAGTTCAACTGGGCATAGAGACAAAAAACTGCAACAGCAGTTCTTGTTGTAGTTTTTGTAGTGATCTTTGATTCTTTTTTGTGTTTACTTTTCTGCTTCCTCGATAGTTGGAAACTATTGTGAGAACCTAAACATTTGTCATAACTTAATATGACACAGGCGTTAGTATATTGCCATCCACAGATGGTATTCAGACATATTCATTATCTGCTTGTGAAATGATTTAGAGGTTATAGTGGTGACACATCATATGGAATGACACACATCAGTGCACACACAATAGTCGTCCAGATAAAAATCAGCCGTGTGAGTACCACATCTCTGTGTAGAGGCTACATTACTGATATCTACCGCAAAACCATCTCTGCTCCCAGCACACATGAAAACTATTTAATATAATAACTATTTGAAACATACAATTATTACAGCAGTACTAACTCAGTTCAGTTCAGTTTTCTTTATATAGCACTGAATCTCAAAGCGTTTTACATGGAAATACTTTGGTTTCAGATGCACATACATATAGATGGCTTTAGAACATGCTTATACTAATACTAATACTACACAATCAACGTATACACTCAATAAAGAATTTAAAACCTGCAAAGATATTTTTCCTTATGAATATATTTCTTCTCTTCCTCCTTTTTATTTTAGCAATGAGGGCAACCCTTTGCTTCAAATCGAAGTTGAACCTACATCAGACGTGAGTATGACCTTTGTTGTGCTTTCAGCGTGTGCGGATCTAGTTTTGTTCAGTCCTTGCATTGCTGATAGTACTGACAATTATGCCAGTAATATCAGTGTGTAATTGCTGGTGAATGCGAATGAAGACTAAATACCACTCTCACCAACACTTGTCACAGTCATTTGCGTTGTTCTCTCATTTAGCATAATTTGTCTCAGCTCTGTGAGGAGCCTTTAGGTAAGTTATGCGTCAAAAGCAACAAGAAGGAAAAGACATCTTCGCTCCTCGTCATTGCTATTTCTATAACAATGATATAATTTGAGAAAATGTGATGCAGATTGCGTTGAATGATATTCCAGCAGGCGCCTTGGAGTAGGTCATTTTCTCTCTTGCGGTGCATTATATTTAAAATCAAATCAGAGTAAATCAACCACTTTTCCCTGTGGTTGTTTTCCCTTTTTTATCAGTCTATTTTTTATTGGTAACAGTCTAAACAGTCAGTATTTCAAGTGCAAACAGCCACAGAAAAATCATTATATATAGAGGCAACACAGACATACAGTATGTGTTTGTTTTTTTTCATATACAATCCTGTTTATAAGTAAAATAGTACTCAATACATTTATTTATAAGCTAAAATATATCACATCATATGCTATACTCATTGTAAAATATATATTGTTACAAGGAAACATGATTTATTTATGTATGTATGTATGTATAAAATGAAAAATTGACATTACCATCTGATAAAAACTGTTCATCCTGGGAATACAGAGCTTTTGCTACATCTAAAGCTTGGTGGGTTGGAGAAGCTTTTTGCCGATAATTATGCTTCTCTTAAATGGCATTTGTATAAAAAAAATAATAAAACATCCATCTGCTATCTTGCTAGAATGATTTAACACTATCTTTTTGTGTATAATGGCATTTTGATTCCATACATGTGTAGGAAATTCAAGCTACCCACAGTTCAATTTTGCTTTATCACAGAATGAGGAAGGCAATGATGAGGACTCTGGTGATGAGTTTGAGGAGATGAACTTGTCGCTCCTGTCGGCTCGAAACTTCCCACGTAAGGCCAGTCAGACCAGTATCTTCCTGCAGGAATGGGACATCCCCTTTGAGCAACTAGAGATTGGGGAGATGATTGGTAAGGGTCGCTTTGGAAAGGTTTTCCATGGACGATGGCATGGCGAGGTCGCCATTCGCTTAATTGACATTGAGCGTGATAACGAAGACCAGCTGAAGGCCTTCAAACGTGAGGTGATGGCCTACCGAAACACTCGCCATGAAAATGTGGTGCTCTTTATGGGGGCCTGCATGAGCCCACCACATCTGGCCATCATTACCAGGTAAGGATAAAGATCTAAGTTTGAATTAAGGTGTTCTTGATAAAGCTCTACACCTCTGACAGACATTGATCACACTTAAGTACTGTTTGCTATATTGTGTGATTGTCCTCTCTACTGGCTCACAAGCTGAGCTTCACTACAAAAAGCAGCTAATGAACACTTGAATGTAGCTACCTGTTAAGGACTAGGAGCGAAACATGAACAAATGCACTGAGGATTTTATGTTTTGTTTTGTTACGTGGCAGCAAAGAAAAAGGGATACAAGCAAACAGTTTACCAGCAACAGATTACTTAATTTAGAAACTAAATAAAAAATGACTTGAATTTCAGAATTAACGAGAAAGTAATCTGAGTACCTTAAAGAATTAACTTGTAAACACGTCATGTCTTATAGTTTAATGTCCAGAAATAATATTGAATAATAAGGAAACTACAATATTTGCATGGCCTAAAAGGTTAGTTAAAGTGCCACTTTAAAATAATACAAGTTGAGTTTGAAGAACTTTTTAAAACGACCTCTATTGTTCTTTATAATTGCAGTCATAATGGTGTCCATCAATAGCCCTATATTAGAATATGTTATAGTACACAATGGTTCATTTGAGCTTTCATGTTTGAGCAGGCTGCAAAAATAATATACAGATGGCAATGAAAAGAATGCTGACCATAAAACAAATGAAAGTACAGTGCAATTATAAAAAGCAATATAATGAGACTCCATAAATGGATCATCGCAGATAAAATGCAGAAATGTTCATATGGGTTATCTGTAGGAAAAAAAATTATACAACTCTAACCAGGGTAACTGTCTGTCCGTCCGTCCATCCATCCATCCGTTCATCATTTTCACAGCTCTAAAATGTGTAGTTTGGTCTGCTTCTGAACTTGAGAGAATGACCATTTTATGGCTTTGACAGTCAGTCCTGGTCACCTAGCATTCATTCTAGATCAGCCACAGACCTTCCCTCCTTTAGAAATATGAGTTTAGAGTGTCTGACAATGGGATGTGGAGAGGTTATGATTAGAGCAGGCTGCTGCTGTTGCTGAATAGATGAACCAACCACTCACCATAGCAATAGTGCATTTGTCTTCACTACAGTGCAACAGCAGATAATATGAGGTTAGAGTGGACGTGAAGATTTCTCTCTCTTTAATTATTTCATGTATTAGTGTTTCCATTTAGGCAGATTTAAGTACTGTAAGTATTTTGCCACTTATAACAATTAAGAGAAAGGTTGTTTTCTTGTTAAAGAACATCACGAGAAGTACTCTCATTTAATTAATTAGCAGAGCTAATGACGTTCAGAAGGAAATTATTGCCCGTCCTATTGTCATCTACATAGGCTGTGAACAACAAGGAAGTCTTGCAATTTTTATACATTGTCTCTGCATATATTTGTTTTGAAGGGACTGTCCATCTCTTACTAAATGTACAACTTTAAATATGCTTTAGCACAAATGCACAAATGCACTAATCCCTTCCATCATATTTACTGTTTTAAATGACCAGTTGTATGATTTCTGAGATATTGCATCTGATGCCAGTTGAAATTGCTGTATGCACAGGGGAGCTAACAGGTGAGCTGGCTGCTTCTCAGAAATCCTCGCTGGTGATTGCTGAAAATAATAGCGAATGTCAGTGCAACAGGTGGCTTTGTTATTCACTAATACTCTGCTTCTCACACCACAAGGATAAAAAAAGTTACTACAAAATAGTCTTCATATTAATCATGTGTAGACCAAAGTGCAAAACGAAGCACACTGGTTTATTAAAGATTTCAGGCTGCATTAATAGGAACATAAATATTGATTGAAACGTTTTCCTTTAACTTTTTCCTTTATGTTGGTTGATTTTGTTGGGCATAGAGGATACAGTGATATTACTGCTGGATTTTATTCATGTAAATTGCATAATTCATTTTGAAGCACAAAGGTGATTTTCAGAATGTTAAGGTGGACTCATTAGTTTTCTATCATCTTTTCTTCCATTAAATACACCCTTTCTTCTTAGACTAGATTATCCATATCATATTTGCCGTAGGTATAAAAGTAACTGTCATAAACCATAATGTCTGCATAAAAATTTCAACTGGCTTTAGATTTAACCAGCCAGCATTTGTTAGTTAGATTTCTGTGTTTAATAAAAGACGTGTAAAGAGAGGTTTTAAATATAAAAAATGAGGCTGTCATGAGATTGTTTCAGGAATGAATATGTATGAGCTGTTAGCTTCGGGTCCTTTGTTGGTCACCTGCATGGCACAGTCGGGGTTGAGGGCTTCAAGTGTGAGGCAGGGGGTGTTTGTTGAGCTGCCTATTAAAATGCCATTTTGATGGCACCCCTCCAGAAATATCACATTGTCTAGCTGAAATACAGTCTAGCTCCATTCTGGCTTACAGTGAACTTCGCTTTTAGTTCATAGGATGGCATTTTATCCTCTAACAGTGTCTCAAACTCCAGTAATGCACACTCGTGAACTTCTAGACAAGTATTTTTTCTTTTTATGTAACACTGAACATTTAAAAGATGAGGATTAGATGAAGTGGAGAGAGGTGAAAATTGAACACTCTAACAGTTAACCATTTTGTGGACTGTTTCAGTATTGGTCTCATTTCTTATGTATTTGTTTTTATTAGGGATGACAAAGAGACTCATTCAAGCCTGCAGTTAAGTTTACATCACATTGTTCAGACTATAAACATGTCAGGCGCTTGTTGATACTTTGATGATTAATTACAGCAGCACAGCATAGTGTGTGTTCACAGTCTAGGCACCCAGCTCACCACTCATCAATATGTAAGTAAAATTGGGGGTTTATAATTAACTATTCCCCTGAGTTTACAGGTGGATACTGGGGCAGTGGAGGGGTTTAAATAGTAGGCTGCAATGCTGGGTAGTGGACACTGACATGTAAGAGGGACACATTGGAGATTTTTTGTAGCTTAACTAGACCACCAAAATGGGAGGCCATGTTTGGTATATGAAATGAGGACAGAAAGGCACGATATGTGTTTAAAACAGTGCAGCTCGAGTTCCCTGCTTCTTCTGCTTCTTTGCTCCATTTCATTTAAAATATGATTTCAAAACAATTTTGAGTTCTCTGTTAGAAGCAATATATAAGTATCAGTCCATTTACCATATTCACTTATCTTGTATGATTTTTTTTTCTTTTATTCTTAGGAGAGCAGTACAGGAGTCCTTTATTTTAACTTCTTTGTATACGAGGTTTTAGCCCTGCACTTATCAGTTGCTTTCTACAAGCTTCATGAATCACTTCTCTTTGCAACGTTGATGTACAAAGCATGATTGAGACATATTGGAATGACAGGAAACCAGTGACAAACTAAGCTGAAAATACTCATTTAAAAGTTTCGAAAGGAATTTTTTAAGATTGTCTTGTAACATCTAAATAATGTAGTGATTTTATCAAATTTGTATTACCTATTGGCATTGATGTAAACCCTGAATTTTACTGTCTTTTCCAGCTTTTGTAAAGGCAGGACACTTTATTCTGTAGTGCGAGATGCCAAAGTTGTCCTGGATGTTAACAAGACACGACAGATTGCGCAAGAGATGGTCAAGGTAAAATAACTCTGCACTGATTTCTCCAAAACACTTCAGCAGAATGCCACGTATTACAAGGTGTCCCACCCTCCCTCCCTCTCTCTGTCCTCAGGGGATGGGCTACCTCCACGCAAAGGGGATCTTACACAAAGACATGAAGTCCAAGAATGTGTTTTATGACAATGGCAAAGTCGTCATCACTGACTTTGGGCTCTTCACCATATCTGGAGTTCTGCAGGCTGGCAGGTAATTATGTTCAATACACTTATGGGACAGGAATGCTTTCGTTAGCATTTGCAATACATGAATTAGTCTTGGAGAGAAACTGAAAGTTCTGACACGTGTAGTGCAGAGACAACAAAACCTTTGGTCCATGCAGTGGATACGCTGCACATTTGTGTGATGAAAATGTCATCTTGTTATGTATTTAAACCCTACTTTTTTTATTATTACTGCATACATTTTTTAACACTGTTCAATTATAATGAATGGTGATGCTTCCTTTTCTGTTTTTGAAAACCTCTGTTCCAACATGTCTAATTTACATAACGGTTGTCATTAAGCTTACATTCATGCGCAAATAATTGAAAACTGTTTTTTTTTCTGGAAGTAATTACAGTTCCCATAAAAGCTTCACACTTGTCCCCTCAAGAACTCAAACAGTGTTAAACAGAAATGTCCAAGATATAAAGAAAACATGAGTAACCAGGTCAAGGAGGAGCAAATTAATTCAATAATGGCTGGATAAATTTGCCCTTACAAACAGTACAGCAGAACTATTTGTTCTGTGAATCATCAGCAATGGTTAAAATGCTCAAAATTATTTCCCATGCCAATGAAAAAATATATATGTATGACACCCAACATCTAGACTAACATCGAAACAACTAGTAGCTCAGTGTTTCAACATCTGTAAGAAACAATTGCATTGTAACTAGAGATTGACAAGGTACAACACATACTACTACACATACTATACTACAGCAATGGTGAGCCAGGACATCAGATCCAGGGGGATATATCATCATTACCACTCTCCAAAATTAGGTACAGAGCCCAACAGTGATCCTTTAGATGCTTTGCTATAAGCTCAAGGTAGTAAAGGAAAGTTAGCAAAATTATTAAAACTATAGTAAAAGTGTGATGAAGAAAGTGCAACAACCTGCTCATACCCTAGGCCTTAGAAAAGCCCAACCAAAGACTGACCTCTGCACATCTTCAGTTATACCAGAGGGATAGAAGCCGGAAGAATAAACTAGCTGTTCTCCATTGAACCATCCAAGGTGTACTCTCAGTGGTGGAGGACAATAGGAGAGCAACCCCACCAAGGCTGAACACAGAGCAATACTGGAAGAGCATATGGGAGAATATTGCAACACAACAATGCTCAGTGGCTTGCAAATCTAAGAGAAGGTCACAGCAACTTCCTTTAACAGGACCCAGTAACCATGAGAGTGGCAGATATAAAAGAAACAACTTCAAGTGTGAAGCTGGATAGTACCGGGACCTGATATGATTCACACCTACTGACTAAAGAAACTAATTGTGGTCCATGAACATCTGGTCGCTGCTAATGGATGAGACCCACCTGGAATGGCTAACTGAAAACCAGTCCTGATAGTCAAGGATCCCCAGAAGGGCCTAGTTCCATCCAACTATTAGCCGATAATCTGCATTAGTGCCTTGTCAGGCATCATAGTGGCTGAGATGAACAAGCACATGGCTCAGTTCCTCAGTTTGGCCTGGAAAGGAATCAGCATAGCACCAACTACTGGTAGCAGATCAGTCATTTGAGACTGTAAGACCAGACTGACCAACCTGTGGACTGCCTGGATTGACTACTGTTCTGCATAGATTTAAATAACCTCAGATAAATCATTAACTAGGATACTGACTACAGCATAGAGCAAATGTCAGCCTTCTCCTCTATATCAATGACATCAAGCTCTATACCACCGATGCACACGACTAGGATCTACAGAATTCGGGCTGCCATTTCACTAGTTGGACCCATGTCCTCCTTTTAGGTTTGATAACGTTTGAGAGGGTAAAGTTGAATGGCTTGGGCATGAATTGAGCTGCGGTTTGGGGAAGGCCTTGAAGTGGACTGACGGCGGCTCCAGGGCCTGGCAGATCCCCATGTACTAAATAGAAGTGAAGAAGTTAAAGGATTGAAAAGGGGAGGGAGGGTGAGGCACGTAAACGAGAATGAACAGCTTGTAGAACTGAGGGAACCTATATAGATGAAAACTGGAAGGAGCATGTTTGGAGGCGTGTTCCTGCTCCTGAAATTGCAATACTTTATCTACAGTTGAACTGGAGAAGTGTAGTTGGATGGTAACAAAAAGAGGAAACGCAATCAGAATGGAGGCGATTGCACTACCAGAAGGGAACATTGCAGACACTGAAGACAGCTACAAGTACCTGGGAATCCCACAAGCAAATGGGAGTCATGAAGAGCCTGCTAGGAACGCCGCAATTACCAAATATCTCCCATGAGTAAGGCAAGTCCTAAGGAGTTAGCTGAATGGGAAGAACAAGATTTGGGCAATCAGCAGTGCCAGTGATCAGATACCCTGCTAGCCAAAGCAGCAGATAGAAGCCACTGACATCAAGACAAGAAAACTCCAAGGAAGCTGTCACCCCTCAACTCTGAGACTAAGGCTAAGCAGAAAGAAGAAGGCCAAAGACTAGAGAAAGTCTTAGGGCCACTATCCATGATGACACAACATATATCTATGAGTTAATCAGGAAAATGGCCACACCTGATTATGTGCCTAGTGAATACCTCACCCAGCAGAAAATTGAGAAAAATAATTATTGCAGTGCAGGAACAAGCTCTAAGCACTAGATCAATAAAGGCTGGGGTTTACCACACCAGGCAAGACCACCAGGCTGGAATATTATACAAGAACATCTGTGACAAGTCCCTAGATCAAAATGGGATATGCCCCCTAGGGTAGTTAAGAATGTCTGAGCTAAAATCTTGTGGGACTTCCAGATACAGACGGACAAACAGGTGATACTAACAAACTGGACATGGTAGATAGATATTGCTATACCAAATGATTACTATACCAGGAAGAAGGAACATAAAATCAACAAGAAGCTTGAGAAATACCACAGAGAGGAGCTAGAGGAAATGAGGAGGGTAAAATCAACAGTAGTATTCGTGGTACTCAGAACACCCAAAGCAGTGGCCTCCAAACTGGGCAAGTGGCTCACACAGGTATCAGGAATGACATCTGAGATCGCTGTCCAGAAGAGCACAGTCCTAGGAACAGCAATGCTGCAAAGGACCCTCATGTTCCCAGGCCTCTGAAAGAGAACCCAAGTTTCAAGGGTAGATAGTGAAAAAAAAACAGTTTTAAATTTATGAAAAATTATTCTGTTCTAACACAACTTATGTGTAGAGCACATTTGATCACAGCAGAGTTTATGCAGAAGTTTATGCAAAACTTCCCAGTCCACCTCGTACACCTGAGTGTACGAAAGCATTTTATTCATATTGATTTTTGCATGTTCATCTCTCTCAAATCTGCAATTCATCATGACACTAGAGCCAAGTGTTAATGAGTTTTGTATAGCATAAACACTGGAAGCTTACTGCGAGATATTATCATTAAATATGGTGTTCAAAACTTCGACGATGTACTGCACTTGTAGTAATTGCACTAGTTGAAAGGGATAAGTTATTTTTAATCTGTGGTTACATTTAGTGTTTTTAAAAGCAGACCAAATGCCAATATATTAACAGCAACAACATCAACATTTTCTGTTTGAAAAAATAAGCTTATTTGGCATCTCATTTGAAGCAAAATGATGTCATTATGACATCTGCATTATAAATATGAAGCTATGATCTGTAGCTGCTTAGTTTGGCATAAACTGGAGAAAGCTGGTCATTCCCAAAGTTAACAAAACCCCCCAAATACCTCTAATCTTGTTTTAACGAAGGTAATTAGAGCTTTTTTGTGATGAAAGATCTTCATGGTGTTGTGGAAGTTTTCCATTTAAATAAAGCTTGCTGACGAGTGGTGAGCGGTAGCTAACATTCTTTAATCCAGACACACAAAGAACAGAAAACCAAGCTTGTGGAGAGCCTACATGACTGCGGGGCAGGGTCAGCAGAGTCTCACTGAGCCTAGCATGGCTCTCAGTTAAATACTGGTGAAAAGAAGTAAGATTATTTCCCTGTCACTTGTTTTGAAGCAGTGATTTTATTAAATTGTCACCCTCACAGCTGGCTGATCTGTTTGGACAATTATGATAAATACTAGCCAGAGCACTTTATGTAGTTTTGACCACTGTGACTATGAATAATGATCAAATTTCACCCACTAGCATTCTAACAACATCTGCTGACATTTGGATATATTGCCATTATCAGCGTAACATAAGTGTGCCATCTTAGCATGGGTAACGCACACACTAATCATAACAAGTTTCACGAATTCAAGTGACGCCAATAAGGTAAGAGCTGTGCATATTTTGGTTGTGTTGTTAAAACATAAGAACTGTACATTGAGAGTAAGACAATGATAAGTCTTTGTTTATCTCCTTTTCTTGTTTTTAGATTGTAGCGTTGCAATTCAGTGGATTTTAAATCCACAATCTGATGCGCTTCAAAACTTTAACACAGATTGTGATCAAGACGTAATTTCCTGCAGTGTGACTTGCAAAAACTTTGAAAACTGTCATTTACACATCACCAATTTATTTCAAAGATAAAACCACTGTAACAGTTAAACAGAAAAATAAAAGATGATGTTTATAAAATAGAATGGCAATTACATCAACTTACCAGTAATGCAACAGCAACAATAACGCTCATAGCTATATGAAACACTAATTGAAAAGCATTACAGATTCATCTTATTGGTGGTTTTTGTATCTACAGTGTACTATAATGAAAATGAATCAGTGTAATAGCTTGGCAGCATGATACAGTAGATCAATAAGCCCTGACAAGTTTCCATCTGCACATTTTCTCTCTCTACAGCCGCAGAGAAGATAAACTGAGGATCCCCAACGGCTGGTTGTGCCACCTAGCCCCTGAAATCATCCAGCAGCTCTCTCCAGAAACAGAAGAGGACAAGCTTCCTTTCTCCAAGCAGTCAGATGTCTTTGCTTTTGGGTGAGAGTCCTCTTACCAGATGCCCCCTAGTTTGTTTGTCCAGACGGCATCCAAGCCTGGAGGATTATAGCAGACTGTTGACAAAGAGGGTTTACAAACTCCAAATATGTGTGTGAACTTAATAAATACTCTGCACCACATGAGGCAACTCTCATTAACACTTTTAAGATCTCATTATAGATAGAGATTTTTTACTGCTGTACAAAGACTAGTGTACAAAGACATGTATAATATAGTAATCTGATATAATAAATGAATTTTTTTTATGCTATTTCCAGTCTTTATACATCCATTTCATAAGCATTTACTGAAAATGGGATTAACAGTGTTAAAACCTAATTATGTAAAATTATGATTTTGGCATAGACTCCACTTGGCATTGCTCACCTGATTAATAAACACTTAATCTATGTGATTTGACTGAAATACTGGGTGATTGGATCTATATTTATGATAAAGATGGGCTAGGGTAATGCACAAATAAGCAATAGCAGCTGAAAGACAGCAGAACACTGGGAAAACTAATTGGAGTATAAAATGCACACTGATTAGCGACTGGTGCATCCGTGTGTGTTAAAATCTTATTTGAGCAAATAATGTGAACCAAGAGGGGGTTGCCTTTGCAAATGTGCAAAAGTGATTGAATAATTGCAGGTTGAATAATTGCAATAGTGATGGTGAGAAACTAAAGGAGTCGTCTAAGCAGGAGGACTGAATAGAAGAGAAACTAAACAAGTTTTGTGACTGAAGTTGTGCTCAGACGCATGATGCATTTTTCCATGCGCTCCTTTTGGTCGAAAACATCTCACTGATTTTTTCCATTATTACATACAGATTTCCTGTCTGAGTGTCACTCTGGTTTCTCAAGCCAAGGTGTCCTCCAGCTCCTCCTCTGAAGCCCGATTTTAAATTCATCCTAACTTGATTAAAAAAGCCCCCCTGGCTCCTGTTCTTTCTCCAGTGACATTACTGCTTCATTTGAGGGGGTGGACCCTGCTCTGTTGACTCCTAACACAATTGCTTTCTCAGATGGTTCCCCATATGGAGTTCTCATCACTATATTATTCTAAAGGGAAGAAGAGTGCAACACTGGTGCACCATGTCCAGCTGCTCTGTTAGCATTTGTGTTACCTAGAGGTGACCCTCATGGCTTTTTTGCATATTCATCACCAATCAGCCATCATCTTTTTCCCCTTACTCCTGGCAAAGAGCTATTTTTATTCTACTCAAACTCGACACGCAGGAGCAGAATGAAAACACCTTATTTGCACAGGGAAGGTAGTGAATGCTAATTTTCCATGAGTAGTAATTAAAAATGTACTGTTTTTTAGCTTAATTGTTTTTCAAAAATTTAAACTGACAAAAAGTCATCCACAAAATCATGCTTTTGCACATACCACGATCCAATTATGCATCATCTACAGCTGCTTATTCAACTGTAAAAATAAAGTTTGTCAGTTTATAGTTTTGCTTGCTCTTGCTTGGATAAGAATCCTCCATAGGTGTTTTTTGAAGACGTTGTTATTCTTATGACCAGATAGTTTAAAACACTGATCTACTTTGCTTCTTTGTCTTCTCAGCACCATCTGGTACGAGTTACACGCACGTGAATGGCCTTACAAGAGTCAACCAGCAGAGGTGATCATATGGCAGATCGGCAGTGGGATGAAACCCAATCTTGCACAAACTGGCATGGGGAAGGAGATATTAGTAAGAGCTTCTTTTTTTTCTTTTTAACTTTTCCCTATTTATGAATCACCTTTTCCTTCAAAATTAGCTACTTTATCATTTTCGTGTTTAAGCACTCATTGAATGATTACCTTGCCTGATAAAGACAGGAAGGTCATTTTCACACATGCGGTACATCATCTGTCAGAGCTTTATGTAAAAGTGTAGATGTCTTTACTCCTCTGGCTCCCAGTTGCAAAGTTTATGCAATGCGTGATTGATCCCATGAGAGCAAGTAGCTGCCTAGTGTAATTGTCTCCCCATGAAGCACCCCTGCCTTAGCCAAATTGACTATTTTCAGAGAATGCATTTGGTGTGAAAATTCTCCTGCTGTGTGCTATTGTAAACCAAAATGTTTAAATTAGTAAAAAGATTAAGTAGTGTGAAAATTTTCAAAACATTCTTTGAATTTAATTATTATGTTTTTGTCACTTTTTCTGTAGTTGTTAAGTAAATGAACTTGTGATTTTGCAAATTAAGTAAACTCCAAGTATAACTTCATTTTACTGTACCATTTCTGCTGTCTGTCTGCTAGTCCGCACTTGTCTCTTAATAATAGATTTTCCTGAGTAGATGTTCTGTTGTAACGGAGCAAAGTATGTTTACAGTTCATTTGCATAATTGTGTTTTTTAGTTCTTCCTGTTAGAATAGTGATGCTGTGGTAGCATGAATGAAGTGAGCTGTTGGGTTAATTACGGTCCCCATGTTAGCACAGTCACTAATGTACAGAGTGATACCCTGCTCAGTGCTAAAATGAAGACCTGTGAAGTGAACCTTAAACTGCTGTGCTGATGCTTGTCAAGCATGAGCCATCACTTACCATTAAAGTTTCATGCTAGTCAAAGGACTAATACATCTTTTTAAATATTTTATTAGGAAGTTAATTAGTTAACATTACTTTTGTCTACCTAAAGCAGTGAAATTGTAATATTACATTGTTTTAGTGTAAAAAACTAAATAGATAAAAAAGAAAAAGAAAGAAAATAAAGACACACACACACACACACACACACACACACACACACACACACACACATATATATATATATATATTTTTTTTTTTTTTTTTTTTTTTTTTTTTTTTTATTGACTTGAGTATATTAATGTTGACTTCCATGACATTCTGACTCCCAGCTTAGCATGTATGGACACTTTGTTAGAAAGCTGCTAGCCAATTTCCATGATTAGGGATATCCATTTAGTATTCCAATGTGAGGGAAATCTAAACTTGTCATAACATTGCCTCAGGAGGCAGGTGAGGCGGCAGATACTTTAGTCACATGGGCTTTAAATCAGAGTTTGAGTCCCAACTGGGATGACTTATTCTTTTTTTCCCCTCTTTTTTGCATTTTATTTTACTTTTGCTTTTTCTGATGCTATTTTGTTAGGTTTTAGTCAATAAATTAAGACTCGGGTCTTTCCCAGCATATATAAAGCATATGTTAAAAGGCACATTTCTCCCATCTGCAAAATGTGGGAGAAATGTTATATGTTGGGCTCGAAAAGAGCTTATGCCTTTGTAAATACTTAAATTAAATGGTAATTAAATACTACATGTAGCATAAACACTTGACTTTCAAGTTCATCAACTTGAAAAATTAAAGGCAATCATTTGCTTTAACTTGTCTGAGTTCAGTCATCTTATTTGGGTTTACAGTAATGTGAGAAAGGCGACCGGACACAGTGTCCTGATTCTCCTCATATTGTAATGAGTTTATGTGTAGAAACTGCTCAAGCAATCGCAGGTTGGATTCACCTGAAGTAGATTTTCACATGACTCCAACAAAAGGTATTTGAAGAATGCTTTTAATTGAAATTGAAAAATCTCTGTAAAGATGACAGTGTGCTAATATTTTAAGGGTGTCAAGTCAGATTTCACAGTCTGCTTGGAAACACTGTCCGTCTTTGTTTGAAGATTTTATTTGGCTTTGTCTTTGCATTCGTCTTGATAGTCCCTTATGTGGTTGTAAAGTTTGTCAAATGCCATTTGAACTAAAATATTTCTTTACAGATTGCACACTTAGGTTGTGTAGCCCAGCTTAAGGAACAAATTTCAATCTTCTTGGTTTAGCTCATATGCCAGCCAGCCTTGTTTGCATGTATGAAATGTAAGTCAAAACCATTGCTGGGTCTGCTTGTGTTACAGTTCACTATCAGATAATCAGGCCAAATTACATCAACTAGCTTCATGAAGTTTTTAGACAACCTGGACACACCTGTTTCTTTCATCACATAAGCATCTGAATAAGATCAAATAATTAGTTTTTTTTCTGCGTCTTTGCTTTCCAGGATATTCTGCTCCTCTGCTGGGCGTACAAGCCAGAGGAGCGACCCAGCTTCTCCAAGCTGGTAGATTTACTGGAAAAGTTGCCAAAAAGGAACCGCCGCCTTTCCCACCCAGGGCACTTCTGGAAGTCAGCTGAGTATGTCAAATAAGTTAGGGACATAAAACGGCAAACAATCAGCAAGTATAAAAAAGCAGCCGCCATAACTCCACATAAATAACCCACCTCCTTAAAGAATGCACTGAATCCAAAAGCCAGCCCAGTGATGAAAACTGCCCGTGCTGTGTGTATTTTCATGGAATGTTGGCATGTGTGTGTACAGATACGTTGACTGTCCAGTTTCTCAAAGCAGTCGGGACTCATATTTTCTTTGGTTTGATTCACACCATACTGGATATATTTCCTTTATCTTTTTGTCTTTTACTATTGACTTGTTCCCGTCATTATATTTATTTCTTGGCTGTATCTTGCTTGTAATTTCAAACAGATCACGTCATCCTGGACTTAAAAAAAAGTTTTGAACAAATGTTGTTTTTTGTGTTTTTTTCCATGTTTTATTCTCGTTTGGTTCGAATGAGTGTAAACGTTGTACATCACATATTGTATATATTCATAACATTATGTTGCCATTCCTTATGTCTGTCAAATGTGTAGACCATTTTGTCAGCGTTACCTCATTGTCTCATGTGTGGATGTCCAGGTTTCATCTTTGTCTCAAATGTTTTGTCTAACTGAAAATGCCCTTTTATTTACACCGTACCATTTGAATGTGAAGAAGCCAGCATCCCTGTTTGTGTGGGGATGTGTTGGCCCAGTTCTTTGATGGGAGACTGTTCTCTGATCAGCCTGTGCTTTGAATATTGCCTGTGAACATAAGCTAGATGTTTGAACAATAACAGCCTTTGGGAAAAAAAAGAAAAAGAAAAAAAAAAGCCACCGGTCAGACCAGGAATCCCCTACTTGACGATGTTCTGTGAAATTGCTGACACTTGAAATGTAGTTTTCGTCAGCTGAACTAATTACCTTTCGGTAGTGCTATCACTGAGCCCCCCCCCCCCAAAAAAACATTCCCCAGTTCCCATAAATCACTGTATATTATTTTTCTTTAAATAGATAATGGCAGATAACAGTATAATATAGATCCAAAGCTTGTTACAGTGTAGTCGGTACAGTAATTTTAAGTTATTTTAAAGTTGTAGACCCTAATCACAAAGTTTTACAAGTTACACATTAGTTTTCTCAATATGTGTATCCAATGGAAAAGATTTAAAAAGCTTAAAATCCCCATCTCTGCACTGAAGTGACTGTTGGACATGGATTGAGAAAAATGTGGCTTCTGAATAGCAAAATAAAATTTAAAAAAGGTTACAAAGTTTCTTAAAAGCAGTGTTGGAGTCACTTTGAAACTGAACGCTTCAAATAAATTCTTCCTAATCTTAAATATTTATTGAAATCCCTCCCTCTGCACTGTTCTCGGATGGCAGGTTTTAAGATCTACTCTTCCAAGCTGAATAAATAATCTTGTAATCAGCTGTGTGTTCAAAATGAATTTTACAGGCAGCTTGACTGCATTCATATCTGAGAAGAGATGCATACAAATGATACATTCTTGTAAGATGTAGGTAATTAAAGCAGGACTTTGCAACTGTTGTTGAGGAGTTACGAGATAATGCTAAAGCTACTTCTTCCAGTATTGCATAAATTGGTAAATCTGCTTTTTGCTAATGTCAGCCACCGTAAGTTATGGTTGCATCACTCTTTGCATTGCTAAAAAAATTATCATTTGTAAGATTTTAGTTAATTCTCAGCTGGTATACAGAGTCAGTGTGATTTTTCTTAGCTACCTGCTCCTTATGAATATAACAGAAATATGGCATTCCTTGTGAATGCAAGCAGATAAAATGTAATGTTCCTCTCTGATGGTGACTTAAAAATCGTTGTTTGCCCTTAGATGTTTTGTTTAAATATACCTGCCATCAGATGCTATAAAAGTTCTAAAGGATAAGAAAAACTGGAGCAGTAGAAAATGAATATATGTCTTTATTTGCTGTGATAATTGGCAAGATTTGATAGTGTTAACTTCTTTGCCAGGTTTATTGTTTAATTAGACACAACAGCTTTTCCATCTGTGTCTACAATGATGGCTTTGAATGGGTTATTTTTGACAACAACACTGGTATAAAGCTGACTGTGGAGCACATTTAAAAATAATCTGAAACTTGCAATCATGTAACTTAAATCTGGCTGAATTTTCCCTTTAACATATCAGGAAAAAAATAAATAAAACATATCAGGATGCTGAAGACCACCCCTGGCCATTTTTCTACTTCATACTGTATATCAAAATATATTTTAAATGTATGTTATAGAGAACTAGCTAAGTCATATCACCATGAAATTGGAAGCTGTGGCATAATTTGAGCTGTACACTGCTTGATTCTGTCTAGCCACGTTGAATAGATGGAGACAATCCAGTCATGTTAAATAGCCATTTTCACCTCATTATATACACATCTGCCAGTGTTGGAAAATGCATACAAACAATCTGCTGCTGTTTTTGGGAGTCTGTCTGTCTATTTTGGAATTGCTCAGATTCAAATATTGTAAGTGGATCATTTATATTTGTACTGTTTACAACTTTAAAGTGCATGAGATGGACTATCAAAGATTGATTCTTGTTAAGAAAAAAAAATCCTTCAATACTATATATAAAAAGTATGTGAGCATTTTTCTGATGACCTGTTGTCCATTGAGCAGTTTGATCTCAAATTTTACATCAGGCTTTGCAAAACTTTTCAACAGCTTTGTTCGAGAGAATGATTGTTGCAGCATATTTATAGATTATATAAATGATTATACTAGAATTAAAATTTAAAAAGTTACGACCTGTGCACATGCTAAAGTTGACAACAAACCGACTGGACAACAATCAAAGATATAACATTAGTGCCAAGTGTACATAACAGATTGTAGACAATGTTTTATCGTCACTTGCCGTGATAATAATATTCCTTGTGAACTTTTTGAACTTTTTCTTTTGAATGTATAAATTGTGTTGTGTTTTTTGTTGCCTTTGTTATCTGTTCATTTTAATTTATTTCCTTCATTTTCCTTCTAATTGCATAAGCATTGATGCTGTGTTGTTTCTTTTCCTTGATTCCGTCCCTGTAATGTAGATGATAGCTCCAAAAAGCTTGTATTTAATGATGCCTTATGGTCCATGGCTTAGTGATGAGTAGATTTTGATCACAAGCTCTTTTATTTGCACTCATCCTTTAAAAAGTGTATGACAATAAAAAGATGTTTTCATTTTGGACGTTTTCTCTTTCTTTTATGACATCTTTTATCTTAGTCGACCCTTATCCATATTTTATGTTGGTTCAATTTTTTAACACATCTTCACAAACAAATGCACTTCCTAAAATTCAGTCTTATATAGTAAAAGTAAAATGTAGATTTCAATGATCTGCTCGCAATTTCCAATAAACTGTCACAATAAAATTGAAATATCTATTTTATATAATTTGCAGGCTTATAAGATGGCTGTTAGTCACATAGAACAGTAGCTTTAGTCAATGTGCTGTTTCTATGGTGGAAAAATAATACAGAGATGAAGATAAAATACCAATGAACCATCGCAACTCTTAACATCCTGTTTTTTATTGTAAGATGCTGTGCAGTGAGATAGTGCCAAAGCACGCAGCCACTCTGCAGGTGCTCACAAGCTAAATGAATTCTCTAGTTGTTGAATATTCCCAGCTGTCCATCCTTTGGAAAAAAAATTAACTGAAGCAATCAGCAGCACACAATTGGAGTGAAAAGCAATTTAAAGTGATATTCTTTCAAGAAAATCTTGTAAGAATAGGCTAAAACCAACTTCACATCCACAACAAGATCTATTAAATGAGCCATTATTTTAAGAGGTTAAAGACATCAGTTGAAATCTACAGGTTTATTTCTACTTTTTCTACCAGTGAACTGTTTCCATGACACCCATAAACTAAGTTTAGCTGGGTTTGTCTTGTGGAAATGCCTCAGCCTGCATGCAGTAAGATAACACAATCCATTGCCCTTTTTAGAAAATCAAAAATAAATGGGTAATTCATTAAAAGTCCTGGTTCGATCCCCCAGCTCTCTCTGTCCTGGTCGTTGTGTCCTTGGGCAAGACACTTCAACTACTGCCTACTGGTGTTGGCCAGAGGGGCTGATGGCGCGATATGGCAGCCTTGCGTCTGTCAGCCTGCCCCAGGGCAGCCTTGGCTACAGCTGTGATTTGCCTGCACCAGTGAGTGAATGAATAGTGGAATTGTAAAGCGCTATATAAATGCAATCCATTATTAAATAATGTACAACCCCAACTCTAAATGAGCTCAGATAAGTAAAAATAAAAGGAAACTGCAGTGATTGGCAAATTTCATAAACTCCAATATAAATTTCATGGCAGCAGCACATCTCAAAAAAGCTGGGATTTGGTCATGTTTACCATCCCCTAACAGCCATAAACATCTGTGAACGGACTAATTGTTGGCATTTTGGGTGAGGAATGCTGTCCTATATGTCTTAGGATTCAAGCTATTCAGCAGTCCTAGGTCTTTGTTTTTGTATTTGTGTTTCATAATGCACCAAATGTTTTCAGTTAGTGAAATGTGTGGACAGCAGGCAGGCACTAACACACACCAATACTATCAGAGACGCAGACTTTTGAACTGAGTGCTGATAATAAGTCAGATGATCCCTCTCCTCTGCAGTCCAGACGATGCAGTGTCTATGCTTACCAAAACTAATTTCAAATTTGGATTTGTCTGACCACAGAACAATTTTCCTCTTAGCTGCGGTCCATTTTAAACAAGCATATATGGCCCAGAGAAGATACCAGTGTTGCTGGATGATGTTCACATATGGCTTCTTCTGTGCATGATGAAGCTTAACATTTACAGGTGCCATATCGAACTGTGTTCACAAACAGTGTTTTCTGGATGTGTTCCTGAGCCCATGCAATGATTTTCATGACAGGCTTATGCCTGTTTTTAATGCAGTGCCACTGAGGAACTGAAACTCAAGAGCATTTGGTATTAATTTGTCCCTTATCCCATATACACATAGATTTATCCCGATCCTCAGAATCTTTCGGTGACATTATGTACTGTAGGTTATGATTTACAGTCATTGCAAGTTTATGTTGAGGAACAGTTTTCTGAAATTGTTCCAGAATTTGTAATGCAGTTTGGGGTTGGGTTTTGTTTTTTTTTTTTGTTTGTTTCTTTTTTCTTTTTTTTGCAGATAGGTGAACTTCTGCCTGTTTTTACATCTGAGAAACTTTTCTTCTCGAAGATGGCACATCATTCTGTTGCCAATTAACCTTATTAGTTGCAAAATGTTGCTACAGCTGTTTCTTTTTTAGTACCACTTACCTTTCCAGTGCTTTGTTCTCCTATCCTGACTTTTTTGAGATGTAGGGTTGACATGAAATTTAAATTGAGCTAATATTTTTCTTAAATTGGTGCATTTTCTCAGCTGAAATATTTGATGTTTTCTATAATCTACTGTGAATGAAATATGAGGGGTTTTTGGGAAAGGACAGTAGACTGTATCAGTTTGTCCTTGTCTTGAAGTCTTTTGTCCCCTAAAATGAAAAGAAACCATTTACTTCAAAGGCTGTAGGAAGGCAATGATGAAAGATCCCCATGGGCACTAACATCTGACTTCAACAATACTTGATGAAGATATCAAGATAATAATCATATAACAATGCGCAATGTGCAAAAATGGGGTCATTGATTTCAATGAACATTTATCTTAACTTTTCACAACTCTAAACTTATATACATGAGTATCTGTGATACTTTTTTGTGTACCTTGGTTGGAAGCTTATTCATAGCACATTTTAGACAAACATAAGGAAACCAAGGATATTGAATATATCAACTTTATATACATCAGAATTACTTTGAACATGTATCGTGGCATTCACGTCAGTGAAGCTGTTCCAATAGTTCAAAAATTCTTTCATTTATTTCCAGTCTTTCGTGCACAAACTGGCATACTGATGATAGTGTGTGCATGTGTGTGCAAGTATCTGTGTCATACAGTGTCAGACCTGTGACTCACTGGTTGAATAGACAGAATGAGTTAGTGAGGGCATGGAGCAGAAAAATGAAATGATAGATAGGTGGACAACCAGCCCTCCTCCTCTACATCCAACATTAAAGTCCAGCCTCAGTCACCGAAGTGTAAAAAATCCACATCACCCAATCTCAGGAAGGCCTGAAGCCCACCAGAGCATGAATGTTTGGTTTCTGTCGACATTCTTAAAAGTGTTAAAACCCGATAAGGTTCAGTGCATTTCTTGTTATAGTATATACTGACATAAGAAGCAAAAATAAAAACAACAGGGATTCACAAGGTCATTAAATTAAATATGTTCCTTTGCTGTGATTATTATGGATAATCCACTTGATGGCTATCATAATAAAATCCTAATTAAAAAAAGAAACAATAATAACACAGCTCCTTAAAAAAACCTAAAGGAACAATGGATTTGCAGGCTTAACAGCTTTCTAAAGTGATAGGCAAGTTCTTGCAAATACTAAGTTGTAATTCTTTCTGCGCTCAACATTTCATAAATAAGATTTGAAAAAATTGAGGTTTGAAAAAGTTATTGTCAAGACTGTATAGAAGCAAGTGGATGCTTTTATATTAAAATAATAATTTTAATTTAATTCAATTAGGAAATTATTCATTATTATTGGAAAAGAAAATCACTTTCCTGTTATAAATGTCAAGTTATTTCATTTAAAATAAAATGTTTTTCTGATGTTTGCATTGGGTTGATACCTTTGATCATGTCTTCGTAATATTTTGTCCATCATCTTCATTTTTTATTTATTCCATTTTGAGATCGTTGTACTTTCAGAGCTAATCATAAGGAAAATATACTGTAAGAGCAACACGGCTGCAGGTAATAAAACTAAAAAATACTTTCCCTATACTGAATATTGATGGTCCTCATGGTAGCACAAAACAGGAACCATGCACTATAATAAAGGGAATGGAAAATTATACACTATATTCTCAGCAGAATTTCAATAAAGTTTAATTGCAGAGTGATTTAGAGGGTGTAACTAAAGATGTATTATGAGAATTGAATGTGTTTCAAAATGACACAAAAATCACTGCAAAGGTAGCTGCTCTTTTGGTGTATAAGCTAAAACAATTTTTCTCCCTAAATGATTGGCTATCATAGAAGGATACAGAAAAACTGTGGTATGGGTTAATGCAGAAGAAATCCAAAGTTATTTGCAAAATGTGTTTATTTATATTTAGCCCCAAGAACAATTTCTCCATAACCTCAACCAAAACATAGTCACATATGGTATACGATCCACCCCAAACTCTTCCCATTCAATCATTAAAAATAGGGGTAAAAAAAGTAAAAATATTGCCACTGAAATTGATCCAGCCACCAGTTGCGTTGCACCTAAACGTGCAAACATAGTTGCGTCAAAGCCTATTTGTCATGTAATGTTCTTCTTGGCACTTCATTGGCTTAATGAGGCTAATTATGCCAACTCTGTGCTCACCTTTACAAATATAATATAGGTCTACAAAAACACACAGCATAAATATTTCGAAAATAGCAAATTTAGATTAGCTCTGTCACACAGCCTCCAAGGACTGCAGGGCTCTCTTTATTCATTTAAAGACACCCACATGGTTTATTATGCTTGAGATGTATTTCATTAGATCAGGGGTTTGGAAGTCAAACAGAAAGAGAGAGCAGAAGAGCTACAAAGTGTGCCATACAATGGGGATGTCCTAAAGGTTTAGCTTGCCTGAGCCAAAAGTCGTGCCAGTTAGAAAATACTCATTAAGCTTTGAAGCTTAACCCCCAAGACAAAATAGACTGGCAACACCTGTGTGTAAGCACTAAATCCCATGCAAAAGTGGGACTCATTCCCCGTCAAATGAGGTGAAAATGTTAAATAATTGCAACCAGCAGGGTAGTCTGTGTGACATGTTTGGGGAAGAAGTTTTTGGTGGTCAAACTGTGGTAATTTCACATCATGCTCAAGAGCCTGAGAGTGGTTCACTGCCTGACATCCACTTGGCAAACCCACACTGGTTGAACTGTAGATCCCAAAAATAAATCTTACATAATCCAAAGGATGGAGGATGTGACCCTGTCTTCCCCTCCAGCAGGCCCTATGCTGGCCCATCTGGCTGATAATGTGTAACAACAGTGCTTCTCACAAAGATCCATTGTCACTTTCATGGACGCAAAGTTTGGATGTCTTAACTGCACAACATATAGAAATAACTACTTTAAATCTGCTACAAGTCTGAAGGCACACCCTTCACATCTTGACAGTGCATCAAGATCTGAAGACTTACACCAATTCTGAAAAGTGCCAGTATGTGACAATTTGAAAGAGACTGTTTGGAATACAGTTCTAGGATGTGTTTAATTTGATTTCCATGTGTTCTGCATTGTTAGATGACAGCAGTTAGACATCTAACAGTGTGGACTCCTGTGGTGCTGTGTGTTAAGACGGAGAATTTAATCTTGTTTTTGTTTTCCTTCCCCTTCCTGCTCCAGGCTGTAATGGAGACATCGATGGGACAGTGTCTTTGTGTGAAGCTCGTCCTCAGCTCTGCTCACATCTGCTCCACCGCCTGCCTGCCTGCCACCCACCTACCCACCCTATCTTGTCCCACCTTGCTTCCACAACCCCCACCTTTCCTGCTCCTTCTTCTTGCTCCAGCTCTTACACGTTCCCCCTCATGCCTGAATGGACCCTTTAGCGGTCAGTATTGGCCCACTTTCCCAGAGTGGGTGACAAAACACACCGCAGACTTTCAAACAGAGAGGCCTTTCTCCGCTCTATGCCTGAAGCCCTTCCCTAAAACACCCTGTGTCTTTCTGTTGAACACTTTCAACAATCCATACACCACCATTCATGCTACGTTGCAACTCATTTTCAGCTGCAAGTATGTTCTCCAGTATCATGACTGTGCAACATATCCTTCTTAGCTTTTTAAGCTTTGCTCTTGGGGGACATTTTCACGGCAGCTCGCTACAAAATTGTTAACTGCAACATTTCATTTTGCAAGTTGTTTTTTGTTGTTGTTGTTTGTTTTGTTTTGATATTTCTGACACTTTAAACTGATTTGTAAATCATTTTTGAAGGCCCTAACCCTACCCAAATTATGTATAATTTCCACTGCACCACTTGATTTTTCATTTTTTTCTGGATTTCTGTGCTTGTAACCAGTAATAGTCCCACACTTAAGCTAACAAACTTGGCCTCTAGAAATACCAATAACATGTTTCAAACTTGCCACAAAAAATGCATTTCTATAAAACATACTGAGAACGATGAAATAGAACGTCTGCAGCAAATGAATAACTTAGATGTAGTATGACACAAAGCTTTAGTCAGTGTTTAAAGAAAAAAAGATCGCTGTTTTGTTTTAATTTAAGGGCAAAATGTCTTAAAAAACCACTGTAAGGTCTGCTCTTATTTAACCACACATGCTGTCACTGCTAAAATACAGATGGAAATGCTTGCCTTTGGCATCACAACTGCAATATAAATTATAGAACAAAACCCACCATCAACCCCAGCCATACAGCACTTGCATATTATGCCAGTACATACATGTTGCACTACTACAAAATGTAGTGCGTCATACACTTGACATTGCCTGTACGCAGGCTTCAAGAAAGGCAGTGATCATGTTTCATAAGTTCCCATATGTAAAATTTCTAAGAGGCTGGGTTGATGTGATTCTTAACATCAAACGTCTGAACATTCTGCACACAAATTGTGGTCACTAAGCAGCTGTATCTGTGCAGTTGGGAGGTCAAGTGCCTTTTTCAAGGACATCTCAGCAGCAGGGGTTAGCAAAGCAAAAAGGTGACTCTTTTTTTGTCACTCATATTGCCCCAGTTGATTTTCGGCATTTCTATCTGAATCCAAATGTGAGAACTTTACTGGTTGTACAAACCAGAAATCATCACATCAGACAGTTTCTATTTCTCTTCTTGCACAGAGAAATTATAGATTGAAAGAAAGCTTTGCATTTCAAAATCTAATCCAAGATTTTCAAATTTACCAGGCAAGTTTGAACAAGTCACTGCTTTTGAAAAAAAAAAAAAAATGGAGAGGTGCAGTGCTGGTGGAGGGAATCAAACCTTCCAATGAGAGCATCTCAGTTTAATTGATTCCATTACATGGTCTACTAACTTGGAAATCGACACACCCATTTGTCTGGAGTGACAAATTAATCTCTTCCAAGTGAGTGAAGAAGAATGGAATGAATTCCAAAAACTCCATACCCACGAGACGAATGTTAAAATACCTCTGCTGATATTCACATCCAGTGAAATGAATGTGAGTTTTTGCTTTTCTCTGAGAGATTTGCTTCTACAATATTAGAATCTGTGAGTGATGAGAAATGTTTTGTGTACATGCTATGTGAGCAAATTACAGAGACAAAAAATGTGCTATTTGGACGGAATATTTATATTTGTGTTTATGAAAGACAAGACAATATTTGAAACTTTCCCCACACATGCAGGTGTCTAATGACCTCACAGCTATGCAATGAAAGCAATGGACATAAATAATCATCAGTGACAGTTTTGTGTTTTGTATTTATTTAGCAGTCAGAGTCAACTTTTGTCTTTGAGTACACCTGTAACATTTACATAGAACTGATGGATGGTGTCACTTTTTTTCATAGTGCAGAAAATTTGAGACATATCCTCAAAGGATGATGTTTTGCTAATTAAGATGGAGCTTTCAGTGACCTCCCTGTGCACTCTTTAGTGAGAACACTTAAAGCCACATCCACCATAAGCTTCACTACTAGAAACATATAAGTGTCTACAGAGGCTGCCTGCAGAATACTTTTAAGGATTGGCGCTGTACTGCTCAGTTCATGGCCACAACATAGCTAAATATGGCATAGTGCTCTATTGTTCCCTTTGCAAAGAATTCAAATGTAAACATGTCCGTCCTTGGACAAAAAGAATTAGAATTGTTCTGCCTGAAATTGCTTTGCAGTTGTTTGTTTGAATGGCTACTTTTATATGCACACAATAATGCCATGATTACCAATAATGTGAGCAAAGCATGAGCCTGATTAAGCCTTTGACGTGGTTTCATACTGTGACAGCACCCCCACCCCTCCCCAATTAATGAAATCTTTTTTGTGATTGATGTATTATGTTTGTGTGTGTGTGTGTGTGTGTGTGTGTGTGTGTGTGTGTGTGTGTGTGTGTGTTAAAGTGAAATGATGGCGGAACATAAAAGGGGAAAGTTTTTTTTGTTGGTTTGGTTTGTTTTTTTTCTTTTCAGTATGCTCCACTAAAAAGCTTGAGGCAGTGGCAACCAAGAGACACAAACAAGCTTTTATGTTATGTGCATCCTGCCTGGAGCTGTACTGCCTTTTTACTGCCTTAGTTTTACACCTGGAACAGGATCGCTTAAAGAAATGACAACTTTTCTGTTCCATGTGTGTCCTGGCATTAAAGGATGTATATGGTAAGTCTATTTTTCTAGCAATCAAGAAATTCCAAGAAATAAAATACTTGTTAGTTCAAGTCTCACTTCCCTATCTTGTGGTAATAATTTTATTTAATAATCCAAGATTTTAAAAAAGACCAATTTATATACTTTCCTTTTTTTATGTAAAAATCTCCACCATGTCTTTGGTATTAATTTGAATTGTGAAGCGAACATCAGCCACACTAGTGAGAAGTCTGAAAGTCCTAGCTGGGGCAAGCTGATTTAGCACAGTGCTTTTCAGACAATGAAGTATTCTGCATCCTGTGTGAGTGTACACAATGTGGTCAGAGGACAACCACCATTAGACCTATTTCTCAGCAGTTCCTCTTAATCTTCCTACATGCACTTGGCTAATAGGGCACCGTGGAGATCAAACACTGTGGCAGGGCTTCAAAAAATGATTCACAGAAGAAGAAAGGCAGCACCAGACTGCAAAATGAGGTGTTCTCAGCTCCTCTGCATGCCTAATTGATCAATGAAATATTTTCAGGTGACCCAAAACACAGTGATCCATGTAAACCCACTTTCCATGACAAATACAGATGAGTACATGCAGTTGAGAAAATGAGAAGGTGATTATTTTCCTGCTGAGAACTGTTCATGGTTCACTGTCGAGAGCATCGAGGACAGACAAACAAGGCAGGCTCAGAGAGGTGGAACTCTGGATACATATGAGGCTGATGTGTAGGCTAAACATGTGAGAATGATGCAGCCTTGTAGTGTGATGGGGAATGCTGAGAAACACCATGAAAGTGTTTCAATCTGACTGTTATACCAGGGAGTGCATTGAAAGGGCTTCTTACAATACTTCTGTCATTTTTTCCCCAGAGTTTTGTTTGGAATGATTTAAACTCAACTATCTGTCATCAAATGAGTCAAACTTGAGAATGTACAGGATGATGTCAAATACAAGCAGCTTTTCCAAAAGGAGAGAACATATTATCCTGAATTTACACAACAACCTCCTTTCTGATGACAACTGCTCATACTGCTGATTCAAATGTACTCTGAATCTGTCGTTAGCATTTGAGTGGATACTGTTTGTTGTATATTATTTTTGTCCAGGCCTCATCTCACTGTAAAACATATCTTTTTTGCTTCTTTTGTTGCCATTATTACCTTAAAATGCTTGGCTGCAACTGTCATAATGCAACACTTTGATGCCCCCCCCCCCCTCCAGATTTCTGATTTTGATTATGAAAAAAAAGAGAAATCATACATTTTTTCATCATCAAAGTCACCGTCATGTTGTTTGTGGTCATCAGCGTTATCATCCTCATAACAACATCAGCAAAAACACATAATGTTGTCCTCATTCAAAAGAGCCTATCTATCATTCAAGCTTGTAATGGAACTTCATTTGTATAATTTGTACAGTAAAGTTTATAAAAGTTTTCTACCCTTTCAAAAATGATTTAGTTTCTGCTGTTCAACTGAATGTCAAAGAAAAAATACATTTGCAGGCCTTGATATAAAGTTTGTGTTTTTTGTGCCGCATTTGGGTTTGTTCTACTGTTCATAAGAGGAAAAAAAAAGTCAATAAAAAATTTAAGTGATAAGTTCATGCTGTTTGTGTGAAGTTTGCATCTGACATCTAAAAGTGTGAAATATGACGAAGCACCTGCCCTTAAGAATACCACTGAAGTCCACTGACTTTATTTATTCAAGTTTTTGTCTTGTTTGCTCTGCAAGAATAGATTGATGGAAAAGAGAGAAAAAAAAAGAGCAAACAGTATGACTCACGTTGGGCCCCAAGACATCATTAACGTTGCTATTAATGCAGCTTATGTTGCACTGACATTAGAGTTAGAAAGCTCATTTATTATTCTCTTGATATTGACCAAGGAAGGCCAACTGAACTTATTTGATGTTATTTTATTATAGCTCGTGGCAGTAATTTGAAGGATTACATTTACACACACACGCGCGCGCGCACACACACACACGCACACACACACACACACACACACACACAGGGCAATTTACAAGCTGAGTTATTAATATTAGGTCTTGTTGAATTCGTTAATCATCTGTTGGATTTTTACAGCTACGAGGCTGCCTTTTAAAAGCTGTTGTCCACGTTCAGAAGTCCTGACGGTCTATTTGTTCTTCCATCACCTACAGGATACCCTTTCATTTATCGTAGGGATGCAAAGGGTTTATCTACAAAGTATTTACTTTATAACTTTGTTGCTGTGAGGCAACAGTAATGATAAAATCTATTAGCTTGTTAAAACCTCAGAACTCAATACATCCATACTAATTAGTTTAGTGCCATTTGAACTAGGTTTCAGTCTTTGGGGGCAGGTTGGGGGCAACTTTAATTTGTTGGTCAATATTCAAACAGTTAAAATTTTCTTTTAGCTGTTTGAATATTGACCAACAAATTAAAGCCCATTTTTTAAATGGATAGCGAACGTACATATGTTTTTACTAAATAGTGGATTAGAAGTGTGAGTGTACATAGATAGGAAATAAGGAGAATAAAGATGGATGTGGACAGAAATCATCATACAGGCTATTAAGACTGGGACAATTAATGTCTGTGTCTGACCAAAGGTTCCCAATAAACCTTTTCATAAATTGCATTATTTTGGAGATTGATAAAAGGATGAAATGTTAGATTAAGTTCATGTTTTTTGCTTATTAATGCAAGTCAAATCTAATCTATGAAATGTGCTTTAAATAAGGTATTTAAAGATAGAAAAGCTTGCTTACCTTTAGAATAAAAGGTACATCTTGATTTTGTAATTGTGAATATGGTAAACACTGCATCTGCTTAATATTCATTATGATAATGTGAGCAAACTGGTACACACAGCCACTACCACTCACTTGGTAACATTCATGGTAAATGTTAATGACAGAAAGTGTGAGAAATATGAACAAAAAAATAAGAAATATGCAAAATTACCATGAAAATATATGAACTGGACAAATCAATCCAGAACAGGCACAGCTTTTTTTCTGTTCCTCACAGCCAAATGCACACAACATACATAAGTAGTCAATGGTATTTTGGCTTTTGTAACAATGTTAATCTTTGATAGGAGTCACATCCTTTTATCCCTATCTTCAGAGTTTAAATTCCAGCTTTTTATTTAATTTTTTAAAATTTTTTTTTTTTTTACAGATTTCAGTTTGATCACAGCTCTGGTATATGGGTCATGTTTCCCCTCAGTTTAAAAAAAACGGACCCTGAATTGAATGCAGTGATCACACTTAAGGGAATGGCACAAATTGTTTGTCAGCTTGAGGTGAGCTTTTACTCAGGAGCCTCTACATTGGATATGATCAGTAATTTCAGACTTCAAAGAGGAAAAGAAAGTCACTGGACATAAAAGAAAAAGCTGAAACTACCTCCATGCCTTTATGCATGCCCAGCCTAATATTACCATAGGTAAACACCCGTTCTCTCTCAGACCACCAAAAACTGATGGTTTAGTTGATTTGATATGAAAAAAATTATACATTATGATGCTTTTATCATTATAACCTTTCATCTGTTCTTTGTTGCAAAATAGAAATAAAGGAACAAAGAGTTATGCATAAGACTCTAAGGTGCAGTTTCACATGTCAGTCATTGCTGTAAGAAAGTGGATGTTTAAACAAAGAGTAACACAAAACTGAAGTCCCTTGTTGAGAAGAGCTGCATGAATATTGCACTGCTGTTCACCTCCCTTAAAATTCGAATTGTCATCTGAATGACCTAATTATGTCAACTTAAGGGCAAAGTTCTTAGTCCTGACCCAATGGCTGACACAAAACTGATGACCAGATGGTAAAAATAGACTTTACTCCTGACTCAGTTAAACAAAAGATGCTGCACACAGAAAGCATGAAAATACAACAAAACTCCAAAAAACTAAACTTTACACAGAAAGTAAAGAAATGTGTGTTTGGTCGTTTATTTCTTTGTTGTAACAATGCTTCATGGCAATAAGTCTTATACCACTAGAGAGACTGTTTATTACCCTTTAAATTCTCTCTTGTTTACAATTAAAAAATGCACCTGTAGTATAAGCAGCACAGTAGACTATCTGGGTTGCACTCATGAAAACTTGCCAAATGTTCTCTGACAGTAAATAAACAACTAATCCTGCTGAATGATTGGAATCTGAAGAAAGAAGACATATTGGCAACTTAAAAATGTATTCATAACAAATAGGGGCCTCAGTAGCATGTGGACGAATCATACACAGCCACAACAGCCTGGCACCTCCTCCACATGCTGGTCTCCAACTTGGTCTCACATTGCTGTGGGATGGCATTCCATTCTTTAACCAGTGTTTGTTGCAAGTAAGCCAAAGTGGTTGTCTTGGTTACTTTGGTACAAACAGCATACCTGGTTCCAGTGAACATGTTGCTGACATCAGAGTAAACAGACCTGATGGTGAAGGGCAGTCATGGCAGCCAAAACAGAAGCCTAGTTCAAATGGCACTAAACTTTGAGACTGGAGATTGGCTGCGTGCAGTGTGTTCTTCTTTCACCCCAACCGGTTGCGGCAGATGGCCCCGCCCCTCCCTGAGCCTGGTTCTGCTGGAGGTTTCTTCCAGTTAAAAGGCAGTTTTTCCTTCCCACTGTCACCAAAGTGCTTGCTCATAGGGGATCATATGATTGTTGGGTTTTTCCTGTATGTATTATTGTAGGGTCTACCTTACAACATAAAGCGCCTTGAGGTGACTGTTGTTGTGATTTGGCGCTGTATAAAAAAAATAACATTAAATTATTTTCTGGATTTTCTGGATGTCTTAGTTTAATTTAAATATGACTGCATGAAGCAACATGAAGGGATGAGATAAGATGCTCATCAGTCTGTTCTTGTTGTGTTGTAGAAGCATGAGAACATGCATCAGCTATTAATCAGAATTACCTTTATTATTAATAAATGTTTCCTGCTTACCTTTCTATTTGTGATGCTAATGGTTGATCTATCATAACATTGTGGGACAGGGATGTGGAATTCACAGATAAAACAAGATAAGAAGTTATTTGTCCCAAAGTTTACCTTCTGTGAGAACTAGTGCTGAAGTGTCTATACTGTGTTTGGCTGGATAAGTACTGGACTGTACACTATTGGGAAGCAATATAGGGAATCTGGTTCGACATGCCTCTTTGCAGTTGTCTGAATGGGAAGCAGAGCTTTCAGGCCTCTTTACTATGGAACCAGCTCCAAGTTTGGATTTTGGAGACAAACACTGTCTCTCATTTTAAGATTTGGCTTATAGCTTTCCTTCTTGATAAACCTCTCTGGATCAGGTAACATTTAACCATCGCTTTGTTATGCTGCAAAAGGCTTATGCTGTTGTGGCAGCTTCTCATGATTCAGTGAGCGTTTTTCTTCTTTACTCATCTGATGATGAGTTTACTGCATTTAATCATACGTAAATCAATTATTAAACTCTCTAGTTTGTTTTTTGTCTGCCCCCTGTGAGTCTGGTTCTGCTAGAAGTTTCTTCCTGTAAAAAAGGCAGTTATTAGTTCCCACTGTCACCAAGTGCTTGCTTCTAGGATATTGTATAGTTGTTGGAGTTTCTTTATAATATTGCATGGTCTTTATCGTACTGTATAAAGCTTCTTGAAGTAACTGTTGTTCTGAATTCCCGGTATATAAATGAAATTGAACTGATTATATTTATCCTTCTCCTAAGAGGTATCTTTTAGCTTTAAATCAGGTTCTACAGAGTTTAACTCTCTGTCTTGTGCTTTTTTTCTCTGTTTACCTTTGCGGTGCAAAATGTTTTGTTAGGGTTTGTGAGTTGAACAACATGCTTCTGATAGCTGATTAATGCCGCGTAAGTATGCTTAATTACATTTAAATGCAGTTATTGGATTTCACCTTGCATTCACCTCTTGTATATTAGTCCCTGATGGTTTGATTGTTGGATGGAAAAGTAGCAAGTCTCTAAAGTTGTGCGATCAACTCAGCAACCACAGAGTTGAAATCTGATACTGAAAAAAGAGATGAAATATACAGTGTGCAGCAGAATCTGATGATTTCAAACATGAAAAACATTGTTGAGCCATATAATGATGAGGATTGCAGTTGTTTAAAGTAGGTATGTTATTTATCCACTCAATTAATGAATAATATTTGATGACAAATGATGAACTGGAAAGAGAATACTGACCTGTCTAAATCAAAGAGTTTCTCACATGACCCCATGGAGTTTTCTCCAAGAGGTTAATCCCCAAAGTCACCCATGTCAAAAT